CCTGCTCTGGTGCTTATAATGCACCTCCACACCTGAGACGTAGTGCTATGCATAACCAAAGATGCACACGTCTTTTTGCATGTGTGCACGGAGATGATTTTGATATTTCGCTTATTTACACTTTCATCTATCTGTGGAATAATCTGCTGGGTTATATCTCTCCGAATGGTTCTTATCTTATTAGCTGTGGGTTGAAATGGTGATAGCTGAAGCCTCAAAATCAGATCAGCCCATGGAGGCGTGAAACTCTCCTGATGGGCGTGTCCTTTCTCTCCTCCTCCAATCGGCAATGATTGCAGTATTACTTTCCTGTTCTTTGGCATGATTTTAAAGCAGTTTAATGATCAATGCTCAGAGTAAATGTTCCCCTGCAGTCCCAGCTGTGGATGAATGCATCATCAATGCACATATATTTAAAACGAAAGGACACGCAGAGGTTGTCTCAGAGGCAACAATGTGTTTTTGTGTACGACTTTTGTACGACCTTCGTCTTTAAGAGTACATTTCAAATGTGTCTTGTTTATCCATGGCAGGCCTCTTGAACACCCAAGTGGCGTTTTATCGAATTTTCAGGTTGATTAAAGTAGCACCAATAATGTATTTTTAATGCATGTGTCTGCAATATCGACACTTGACTGATACTGTATATGCGTTCTCCTTCTTGTCAACGAAAGAGGAGAGTTGCAATCACACTCCAAGGTCCGAGTTTTTAGCAGTGGTCCCAAGAAGAAATTTCAATATGCAACAAATTATTATGCATGGCAAAAATGTAATTTATCTTTTGTGTGGCGTTTTTAAATGGAGCTTGATGTTTGTGGGGAGGAAATTGTGTAGGACAAAGAAATCAAAAAAGATTTGAGTGAAAGAAACTGCTCAATCGTGTGAGCGCACTTTAAACAAGAATGTGTTGTGCCTGTCACAATCAGAGACTTCGTGTCTTGGGTTGAGAAGAAATGGCAAAGCTGGCGTTCTGTGGTATCACGGTGCTAAGACGGTGCTCCAGTTGTTTTCACTCAGGGGTGGTGGGCACTACCTGCCTCGTGGTTTTAGGTCGTCGTCTTGTCTTTGTCATTTCAATGTCTCGTGGTTGTGATGGGGTTCACATTTTTGTACATCTTGGCTTGGGTGTTTTCTCAAATGTCCCATTGAGAAAGAATACTTGACTTTACTTATTGAGTGATGCAACTGATTCTCAGATTGCCCCCCCCCCCCCCCCCCCCCCCCCCCCCCCCCCCCCCCCAAATGAACTTTTAAAACTAACCTTACAATGCATATCCACCCACCATCTCAATGGTTTAACACCACTGTTGTTGTGGAAGCTGTTGTTGCCCAGGTGTAATGATTTGTTTACTACATCCTGTTTTAAAGAATCACACTCCATGTTCAGCTAAGGTGTTAGTCAACATGTGATAAACAGTTCTGTCATTTCTTATATCCCCCACATGGGGGCAGCACACACATCTACTGTCCTTGAATGGACTCGATGCAAGAATCCCAATGATGAGGGCAGTATTTGTGTGGTTTTGCACTATTCAAAGTGTTGTAAATAATTTTGTATCAAATGTTAATGTCCTTAATTCTTCTATGGTCCTCTATATTTATTTGCATTCTGTGTAATTCAAGGTAGTCTCTGTGAGATGGCTTTGCTATTGTTCAAAATAAATCAAATGTTGCGAAGTAAATCATGGTTCGTTGTTACTGTTCTTTCACAAGACTTCAAATGAATGGAAAATTAACTTCATCTTATAAAGTTTTGGGGTTAGCAAAGATAACTTGGAAATAAATGAAAGCATTCACAAGACGCATGACATATTTGCATTTCACAGTGGTGAGGTAATAAAAAAACAAAAAGCAACTTCAACGTTATCACACTGGTTTGATAGAAACCTGTTTAGAGCTCTGGAATTCACCTTGTGTTACTCAGACTGAATCTGGAGGTGTGTGAATATTTTTACACTGAAAAATAAACTATTGCTGTTCACATGTAATCATCATTCTGTTTGTGAAAGGCTGCCATATCATGATATTGAATCGCAAAGTCCAATTAGCTTTTTAGAGATATGTGAAGATGTGCACTTAATGCAAACAATATTTTTCAGATCTGAGTTGAAGAAATATACGTAAATCTTTTAAGCAAAATGCACCAAGACCAGTTGTCTGTGACTTAGAACTGAGTTTTAAATGTAATAGAAATAGCCTACCTTCATCTCCTGTTAAAGTTGCTCTCCTGTGCTGTTGACTGTGCTGAAGGCTTGGTGTTTGTTATAAAAGCAAACCCAGAACCAGTTGAATTTTGCTGTCCTGGCTCCAAGATGGTGGAATGAGCTCCCCATTGACATCAGGACGGCAGATAGCTTGCACATCTTCCGGCGCAAACTGAAAACTCATCTCTTTCGACTCCACTTCGAGCGATAGAACTATTCACAAAGCACTTTTATACTAATAAAGGACTGGCTTTTCTAAAGCCAGTTGAGTAGCACTTGAAATGTTTTTGCTCTATGAAACCTGATGTACTTATATGATTCTGTTTTCTTCAAGTTGTATTTTGTTGGACGAACGCACTTATTGTAAGTCGCTTTGGATAAAAGCGTCAGCTAAATGCAATGTAATGTAATGTAATGTAATTCAGCCAGACTTGTGTTCGTCTTATCGTACAGTGAGTGTGGAAATAGATAATGTGTAGCCTTATCTTCTGAGGTGTTTCGCTTCCTCTATGTGGCTTAACACCACCATCTAGTGGACAATCTCAAAAGACACTGCAGTAGAAAACTACACCACATTAGAATGGACATTTCAATGTTGATCAGTGGAACATAGGGCATCCATGTATTACACAAGCCCTGGATGCTTTGTTTTTATTTAACCCTTTCATGCATGAATTATGAAAGCCTCAGTCAGGATTTTTTTATCAAGTGTTATTATTACTATTTTTTTTTAAACTAGATTTTTCAAATAGATTTGTATATGTCCACTCAGGTGGACAGCATTCAGGGTTTGAACTGAAGAGATGTACATTTTGAAAAAATGATAAATAAATATGTGCAAACTTAAAATTACATTACAATAACATAAGTATATTGATTTACGGCCCAAAAAGATATTGCAGATGAAGTATTTTCAAGAATTACTAGGGCCAGGGGCCAATTTGAGGCCCCACGCACAGTTATTTGATGAGTGCTAGTGGAGCCTCGCAGCGGCGAAACCGTGCCGTGCCACCCTAATTGCGCCACTTAAGCACATATGTGCGCCTCAGATGAGGCCCCTCTCCGCAAGGTGTAGCCCCCTCCACAAGGTGAGGCCCCACACAGTCTGCATGATCTGCCTGTAGGGAGGGACGGCCCTGGGAACAACAGCAGCAGTACCAGTATGAATTGTAGTTGAAATACATATAACAGGTGGTTATAACCATGATTTCCTGCAAACATAAAATCAATACTTTGATAATTTATGAATTATATGATTCCTTAGTTGTTACTTGATGTCACCACCTTTTTTATACCTGCAGGTGACGCTTTCCATAAAAGGATTGGCAAGATATAGATGGGTGACTTGGTCCATGTGGCTTTCTGTCGTCCATCTTGGTTTAGAGCAGTGGTTCTCAAAAAATTTCTGTCAGGCCCCCCCTTTGGAGAAAAAAAAAAGTCGGGCCCCCCCCAACACAAATAGTCAGGCTCAGTGGCGGCGCCAGAGATTTATTTTGGGGGTACTGTGGGGTAGCTTGACGTTTCATAGAAGGTGCTCAAACATTTAGGGTTTCCCATTAATGTACCGGTCACTACAGTGGAATTTTCTACTGTAACAATCCCCACGCATATACACAATGTACCCGCAACTGTTACAATGAAGGCACGATAATCAGCTCACGACATATAGGTGTAAGCAGGGGTAAAGTGCTATTTTTATAGGTGGTGTGTGGACCTCACATAGGGGGGTCCGGGGACAAGCTCCCCCGGGAAGATATTTTTTTCAATCTTGAAGTTAAAAGCATCAATCTGGTGCACTTTGAGAGCGAAATGAAGAGATCTATGGATACCTCTCTCAACACCCATATGAAACAGAACTGTTAACAGATTTACTTTTTCTTTATGGATATTTTACAAATCACCCTTTTAAACTTTAGTCTTGTTTTACTGTCATATAGTATTTCATAGCTGTTTTTTTTAAAACAATAATGATCATATAAATGTGTGCCTCGGAAATAATTGTTTACATTAATGGTGACCAAAACGTTTGAGACCCACTGAGATAACACTGAGAGAGTCCTTTACAGTAGCTCACTGAGTCTCTCAGTCTGACAGGAGAGGACTCTCCTCCACTTTGTTGTTGAAAAAACTCCTTATATCCATTAGCGTAGCTAGCTAGCACCAGACGCTAACAACAACGATCTCCGGTACCGGTGCGCTCTCTCTCTCGCGCACACAAAATGGCTCGTTCCACACACACACAGAGCCGAGCTTTAATGAAACACAGAGACCCAGACGTAATAGTACTGCATCATATTATTTTTGAATCAATAATTTTTCAAATTATGATTTATTTATTAATTTTTTAATAATTTTTCCTCCTGGTCTCTCGCGCCCCCCCTGGCATGCCTCTGCGCCCCCCAGGGGGGGGGCGCGCCCCCCACTTTGAGAACCACTGGTTTAGAGACATGTATCATGCACTTACACTGACTTGGCACTGAGTGGCAGTGTATGGGATGATGCAATAGGGCCATGGTGATGGTGCAACTATGCAAAAAAAACAATGCATATACAAGAAAACACCTTTTGAATAGCTGTCCACTGTAGTGACCTCTATGCATGAAAGGGTTAATTAAAATTAACTATAATTATTTTTAATGCAATTAATAAAATGTAGTTAATTTATTTTATTTAGTGGTCTAAGATTAGCACATCTCCTCCCCTGAAGAAAAGGTTAGGTATGTTTTTCAAATGTTGAGGTCAAGGTTTAGAAACATGTAAGTGATGCAGTTGCAGTGAAACACACAGGAGTCTATCGTTCTATTTATTCCATTCTATACTCAAAAGCAGCAGTGACATGCATTGCAACAGTCCTGAAGCTAAACGGCATGCTGTCCTGTTCAGGTATCCTGGTTATTTGATGGAGCCGGTTCTGCAGTGGTGCGCTGGTAGGCGCAGAGCTGGAACACACCTGGAAGACACCAAACAGCAGAAGGAGTTAAGTCTAAGTTTCCACTGACCCAACAAATGTGCAATAATGGAATGCTTTAGATTCTATTATTGCTGACAAGGATTGTAGTCCCAACTGTTAACTCCCAGTTAACATTATTACAAAACATTAAGAATAACTTCACACAGTATACCTGCTGTAAAAGCCAAAATGATGGCCACCCAAGCAATGAAGTAAGACCAGGAAAAACGCCAGTCCAAGAAGCGTTTGCCAAAGAACGTGACGGTCACTCCGGTGTAGATCGCCAAAGCCAGCAGAGCGAGAAAACCTTTAAAAATGGGAGGTAAAGTTAAGAATGCACAATATTGCAAAAAAGATCTCAGAAACGTTTAATGCAGGGAAAACGGAAACCAGATAAACATGTTTTGGCACTGACTGTTGATTTCACTTATTGTGTGTGTGTTACCTGACAGGACCAGGGCGATGCCCCCCGTGCGGACCCTCCGGTTCTTGGTGCCGTTAGTGAAGGCGCTCAGGCCCAGCACCACACCGGCGAAGCAGCTCAGCACCGCCAGCAGCATGAAGGCCCGGGTGGCATCCCAGAAGGCTGGACACAAACAAGACCAAGGACCACGCACACATCAACACACAAACACTAAGGCCTGGATTTTACAGAAATACAGATTTCCTCTGCAGTACTGTGCAGTTGGGAATTTTACACTATAAGACCATTTTTATGGATGTATTATGTAGAATTCTCGTCTGCTTTAATATGCTCTTCTTTTCTTTTAAAACATTTGTTTAAATAATTTAATTGTGTAGATAATTGTGTTGTTCTGATTACAAATGATTAACATTCTGAACAAGACAATTCCTCTGCTATTCAAATGTTATCATTATGCTGTTTGTGAAAGGCTGTCATACCATTCATTTGAATTGCAAAGTCCAATGAGCTTCTTAAAGATACAGTATGTGTAAATGTGTGGCAACAATTATTTTTCAGATCTGAGTTGAAGGAATATACTTTGCAAAATGCAGCAAGTCCAGTTGTCTGTGGCTAAGAGCTGAGTTTTAAATGTAATTGAAATAACTTTATCCCTATTAACATTCTGACATTTCCTCAGAAACTCCTGATTGGTCCATATCATACTTGTTGTCTTGTTTGAAGGCCTCTGAAGTACTCACCCACAGTTATGGTGTGGGCATGGCATTTGTGGTTGATGCAGAACCTCCAAAGTCCCTGATTAGCAGAACTACCCGAGTACCGATACTGCATCCAGAAATCAGTTGCCGTAGAAACAATGAGGAGCACAAGGGCAGCTAAACCGCAGAGCGTGCCCCCTCCCGCTAAAGTATACAGCATCGTGGAGAAGCCAGAGGAAGCGCTGTCCTCCTAAACATTCAGCAACTGTTCAGGGAGGACAGGGCAGAACATGGTCATTATATAAACACCACACTCAAAGATTTACTCATGGACGCCCTTCATGCCAAATATATTCATTATACATCATTATACAGTATATCTGGTCAAGTTTCCGTGACAATTTTGGAAAACAACGTATTACATTTCCTGGATGTGCGACAGACCGAAATCATCTGTCATGGGATGTGTCCATGATAGCTCTACTGACCTGCTGCCTCTCTTTTCCTATCTGAATCAAGTGCATTTATGTGTATGTCGTTTCAGACAGAGGTGGAAGAACAAAGTACTCAGATCTTGTACTTGAGTAAAAGTAGAAGTACCAGAGTGTAAGAATACTCTGTTACAAGTAAAAGTCCTGCATTCAAAGGGTCACTCAAGTGAAAGTAGAAAAGTATTAGCGTCAACATATACTTAAAGTACCATAAGTAAAAGTACTCATTACGCAAATTGGTCCATTTCAGAATAATGTGAATGTATTCAAGGTGTCCCTAAAGTATTTTTTAACAGTTGTTTATATTATACATTGTTAATTCAAGTCTGTAAAGTAAGGTACAAGATACATTTACTGGAATAAAAGTACACAATTTAGCTCTGAATTATAGTGGAGTAGAAGTACAAAGTATAGCAGAAAATGGAAATACTCAAGAACAAGTATCTCAAGTTGTACTTGAGTAAATGTACTTAGTAACTCTGGTTTCAGAGCAGACAGAATATATTGATTACACTCCAAAACTAAATGTACAGAAAGAAACCTATTATTTAAAACAGTTAAAAAACAATAGCGAGACTGCTTTTGGAATTACCATAGGCATTTTCCATAAAATACAAAAGTCAAAGATTTGACGGTAACATTTCAATCATACATGCCTGCACGTTAGAAAAGAGAGTGAGTCATTATTCAGTGTCGCTTGCAAATTGTTCACAGCCAGCAAAGCACTTGACCCACGGCGCTGTGTAACAAAAAGCTTGCCTATCAGGCAGTTCAGAGCCATTGTTCACCACTAATTTCCCCCAACGCACCACAAACTAATCTTCCAACACTGAGCAACTGAACTGTCAGCAGTGTGGCTCTCTGTCACACAGCCAGCAAACCAATACACTGATCCTCAACCCCGTAATCCTCAATGCTGCTCTTGGAAAAACCCAAACCTACATCAAATCCAAATAAAACGTACAAATCTCAATTTCAAATGTGTCAAACTATGTTGTTCTTGTAAGGAAACATGAACAGACCAGGCATAGTTATTTCGCTTTTCCCTAGACATGCTGTTCGTCTCCAAATGTCCTTTCTCTCTTTGGTCTCTGTAGATCCGCTTGTTCTGCAAATCAGTTTCTCAGTTGTTGATTTGCCTTTGAAACCCTGAAAGTAAGAAGTATCTTCCTGGATGTACAGAAGAAAAAAAACAGATTCAAGTTTTACTTTGATACCTCTGGGTTGGCCGGTGTCTCTCCAGGGTTGCTGGCTGTGACTGTGTGCCTATCCTTTTTAAGCCCTGTACCCCTGGCTTTCATTGTCCAGCTCACAAAAGGGGGAATGATCCAGAGCAGCATGTGAGGGACGCTAAATCCCTGCAGTTACCTCTTGCACTTTGTCTTTCCCTATATGTCGTCCATGACTTCTTCTCATTCCCCTCATCTTTAAATGTTTTCTGCAAAATAATTTATACATTGGCTGGTCCCAATCCCCAGTTTACAGAACAGGCATTCACAGTCCTTCTACGCATAAAAACACATGCAATTACCAGGAGCAGAACATAATGTTTATGTGTGTGTGTGTGTGTGTGTGTGCATAAGTCAGTAAAATGTCATTCAAATGTGTGCCCTCTATTTGGCCAAAATGCATACAAACAACAGGAGGTCTTGTGACACGTTATGTCTTTATTCCATCAGGTAAGTTACACCTCCAAAGTGTAACTTAAAAATACCTTTATTTATTTAGCAAGAACAACATGTGTTATTAGACAGCCACTGTCTGATGTTTTTGTACAGTTTGAACCCCATTGACCCCTTGGCATTTCATCATTTGTGCACACACATTGTTTCTAACTGCACAGGTTTTAAATGACACTGGATATGCCTTTGTGAGCCACAGATAATGACAAATATAAAGCATGATAGCCTTTTCTCTCACATCGATCTGGTGTCTGCATAGGTGCTCAGTAAAAGTGAATATAAAGTTGAATATGTGTGTGGATTTGTCATTTCACATTGTGCAGTCCAGCAGCATTCATCTCTTCATATTTTACTTTAGCCTGCTAACTTTTTTCTGTTATTTATTTAAACATTTTGTATTTTTTTTGGCAACAACTGCATATCACCTCAATTTGAATGTGATCTGAGGAGTTGATCAGTGGTTACAGTATTACCACTTCTACTCTTATTTCTCCTCCTCAAATCACTTTTTAACAATGCATGAAGCTTTGTAATGAACATCGCATTTGTAGGCATAAAAAACAGGTTTCTAAAATGTCACAACCAACATTTACTTATTTCCATGTTGCAATTTATCTATTTAAGTTACAAATGAGTAGCCACTGATGTTACAAACTTGAACATACTGTATAGCTCTAATTACTGTTTTCCCTTTTTAATAAGTGCACAAAACTGCCAATGAGTGATCATTTTCTACATTATAGTGACATTACAATATTTGACAGATGACAAGCCTTATGACAAAATACGGAATAAATAAATAAATCTCTCAATCAATCCAATTCACACATCCAAAAATATCTACAAATGTCACAAAAAAGGCACATTATGATATGCATAACCAACCGTGGCTTTTCTTTCCACAACATGAAGAGTCCAGCTTACTGCCTCCTACAGAAACTAGAGACAGCGAACGCTTCATGGTTCACCAAACGCTCCTTCCCTTCTGAAGTAACATTCATGTTTTGTACCAAGTACGGACTTATGCTGAATAAAATGTAGTTTAGTATTGTGAAAAATAAAACAAATCTAACTTGCAGGTGTGCTTGCAGTGAAATGACTCATGCCTTTCAATACAGGCATTATCAGTCTCACTCTCTCTCTCTCTCTCACACACACACACACACACACACACACACACACACACACACACACACACACACACACACACACACACACACACACACACACACACACACACACACACACACACACACACACACACACACACACACACACACACACACACACACACACACACACACACACACACACACACACAACACACACACACACACACACACACACACACACACACACACACACACACACACACACACACACACACACACACACACACACACACACACACACACACACACACACACACACACACACACACACACACACACACACACACACACACACACACACACACACACACACACACACACACACACACACACACACACACACACACACACACACACACACACACACACACACACACACACACACACACACACAAGTACACAAGTTAGTGATCACTCGCTGGGATGTGAGTACTCTTGTGCTTCCTGCTGTGGCCCACCAGTGTTCCTCCAGTGAACGGCTCAGGGGCCGGGGGCCCAGAGCACGACAGTTCGATCTGCAGAGGAGGAGAGGAAGGTCCGGTCGTGGGGGTGCCACCTACACTGAATCACCTTGTCCCAGTGCTCGCCTGCCACCATCTGAGGAAGGGGCTTGGTTAGGTCACCTGGGTACGAGAAAGAAGTGGCAAACAGTGGGTTCAAACACCAGAATGTTGTTTTCAATTGACATGGTAGCAAAAGCATCAGATATATGGGTGTAAAAGAGTGTAACTCTTTTAAAAGTAAGTGGAAATTACAATATTTCTCATGACTTCATAAAAATCCGAAACACCAACTGACCCCCTACCAACCCCAACGGTCCCCCAGGCTATGGAATTCCCTCCCCCAAGATCTCTGTGATTCCGAGTCCCTCACATTCTTCTAGTCCTGCCTCAAAACTCATCTCTTCTCCTCTGTCTACTAATAGACCCATTAATCCATGCCTTTTGATTGTCTCTGTTTGTCCTTGTCGGTTTGAACCCAACCCTCCCTTATATTGTTTAATGACTTTGAGTGCCAGAAAATCGCTATAAAAATGTAATTTATTATGATTATTATTATACGGCAGACACCGTTTTAAGTAAATAATGGGCAAGTTTTACCTTTTCAAATTGGATTATATGATCAGAAGTGACTCATTTTTTTTCATTCTGAGTCTACTTTGTCACACACCAGACATTGAGTTTATTTCCCACCCCGTGCAGACAGCTACCTTGAAGGTCGCTGATGATGACTTTGTTGTCGTAGGAGCCGGTGAGGAGATGGTGGGCTCCGGGGGAGAAACGCACTGAGCGGATGTCGCTGCTGTGCGGCCGATACGTCTGGACCATGCGGCCTCCTCTGATGTCGTACAGCATGCAGGTGCTGTCCTCCTGACCTGTGGCAAGCAGGCGCGCACTGGGGTCCACCGCCACCGTGGCAACAGCACTTCCTGTGAGAGACAGAGAAAAAATTGACCGCTTACTTTTTGTTTTTCCTTAAAAATATTTAAACTCTAAAACTCTGAACTGGGGATTTGTTTATCTCATTGAGCCTCTACTGCTACTATTTTTTTTAATTTTTTTTTTTTTTTAAATGGGACAACTAACTTGGTCTAATCTAAAGTGTCTATTTTAAAGGATTTCAGAATTTGCACTTTATTTATTTATGTACTTCATTACCAAGGTTATTTAATTATAACCAATTTTGCCTTGGGGTTTGGTGCGTACAATAAACATATCATATCACATCCTTACACACTTAATGTATTTATAATATCCTGCTTTATATTTTGTTACTGTACATTTGTATTTTAACATGTATATTTTCTACTTTTATAATGCTATTTTTTTGGATTGTTTATTTCTAGTCTTTTAATTTCTCTAATGTACAAATGCCTTGTCTTACTGCAACGCAAACAATTCCCAAATTGGGATGAATAAAGTACTTCTTATGTCTTATCTTATCAAGAGGAAATCTAAAATACAGGCAATATTTAAAAAGATATTATAAAATACTATGAGAAATCCGTCAAATATAAGCTGTGCAGTTTAATAAGGACATAAGTGTGAAGCTGTGCTGTGTTCCAGAAATCTTCACGAAGCATTAGTGCCCTCCTGTGGGTGAACTGTGGTACCACACCAACCTGCAGCAGTGAGGTGAAAGTAGTTTGGACTCACCTGAGCCGTGCAGAGTTGTTCCCACCACCCGCACACAGCTGGGCACCCGCAGGTCCCAGAAGCGCACCGTCTTGTCCTGAGAGCCAGAGGCGATCATCCACCCGCCCCACGTGTACAGAGTCAGAATGTGACCTGGTCAAACAAAAAGGGGAGGTGTTAAATAATTAACATTTTCAAGGATTCAAGGCTTTTATTGTCATTCGAGCTACAGTGTAGTTATGACAATCTTAGGTCACAGGCTCCTCCAACAGTGCAACACAATAAAACAGATAACAGTGCAAGTAAATCAAATATAATATAATAGAAATAGTGCAGAATAGTCTATATACTTGGTAATATACAATATAAGTAATTGGAATATTGATATATATATAAGTTGCAAACAGTTGAATGTTATGGTGTTTAACAGTCTTGGATTTTATACCGTTACCTTGTTTTACCAAGTATTTTGTGTTTACAAGATAAACAAGATATTGTTAATTTGTTTATTATGATGAAAAATGCAGATACTGTTTATGATCAACCATGTCTACAAACTGATTTCTTAAATGTCCTGGAGGAGCTGTTGCTAAGGTACCAGTGTGTCCGCTGAGGGCGTGCAGGCCCTGTCCCCTCTGACAGTCGGTGGTGTAGATGTTGCAATCTCCGGCCCCGGCACTGATCAGGATGGATCCTCCGCTCTCGGGCCCCTCCATGAAGGCCAGGTCCCTGATGGTGCCGTCATGCATGCTGAACTCCAGGTCTGGGCCTTAATCAGAGGAGAGCCGAGGGTGAAAACAGTACCATCATCTCAATATCCTTAGAGAACTTGCCTAAGGTATTCTTCCTGAAATTGTATTTTACATTCTCATAGGTATATCATCCATCATTAAAACATAGGTCTTTAGGTTAAAGTTAAGTTGCTGTGAAAATGGACACAACTCATTAGCTACACCCCAAACATGACCTGTTACCTGTTGCATTGCAGCTGTCTGCATTGAAAGGCAGGACTTTGACAAATTTATCATTGGACCCAGTGGCCAGCAGCTGTCCGCAGTGGCTCCAGGCGACACAGTAGATGGAACCCTTGTGGTGTTTGTTCCTCCTGAAGCGCACCGCCGGCTGCTTGACTGCACCAGAAGCACTACTGGAGCCAAGAAGACAAGACAGATACACTAAGGAAGGTGCGAAGGCAGGCATTCTAACATTTTATATAGTAATAACAAATGTGAAATACAGCAGAGACCAATGAAGCATTATCAGTTTCTCTGGTTTTACTATTTATAGGTATGTACTTGAGTCAAATGTATATAATGCAAATGTATTTTATTCTATAAACTACTGACAACAATTCTCTGTGTTGGAATTCAAAAGACACTGGAATGGAATGGCTGCCATACATGTAGAGACTGAGATTTAAGAACAATTTGGAGTTGTCAGTCGAATAATAACTTTCTTATGTGTGAACCTAAACCAATTTTCTCCAATGTGTCTGTTTTTTGTCAAAAACATTCAAAACAAATTAAAGACAAAACAGGAATTTAGCAGTTTCTCCATTGTGCTTTCTAGGTCATAATCGACACACAATGCCCAAATCCCGTGTGTACTTGAATGCACATTACATTGATATCCATGCTGTAGGTTAAGTCAAAACACTTTTTGGCTTGTTAGGTTTACTTTCTATAAACACTCTTCAGTAATATAATTTAGCATGTAAATAATCTATCATGTACTCAAATGTAATAGTTTGATCTGTAGGTTCCAGTAGAGGCTCCTCCTACCTGGGGGAGAGTGTTTCTGGGTAGGCACAGACTCTGAGGGTTTTAGAGTTGGAGCCGACGGCATAGAGCGCTCCGGAGGGATGGAAGGCCACGGCGCGCACCGCCTGAGTGTCCTCCAGCTGGTTCACCCTCACAAACTGCGCTTTGGACTTCCCCGGCTGCACAGGATCACAACAGATGATCTTTTGAACAATGATCACATAAACATCAGCATAGATTTTTTAAACGCAAATTCTCTCCGGGTTAACCTTTAGGATACAGCTCCAACAGATATTTTTTATAGCATTAAAGGTGGGGTAGGTCATTTTGGAGAAACCAGCTCGAGTGAGCTAGAATTTGAAAATACACAGCCGGAAGAAATCTGCCACTTCCTTACAGAGCCCCTCCTCCAACAAACACGAACGCGCACATGACCAATGAGGGCACAAGATAAGTTTGTGCACAGATGGAAGGCTGACAGGCAGGTAGGCCATCCAGTTATTTTAGCCGGGCCGTTGCTATCGGGATGTTAAGAGCATTCCATGGAATATAACAAAAAGTGTATCTCGAGCCGGTTTCTCAAACTTACCTACCCCACCTTTAACTTTACAGTTTGGAACAATGTACCTATACTACAATAACTATGATAATAATATACAAGTAATCCTTGAGCAGTTCACCTCTTGTGAATTACGTGTTGCAGAGCAGCCAGAATCATCTTGCACTGCCCCTCTGATCTTCTCAGCACTGAAATGAAAATGCACACACACATGCAGTCAAAAAGGTAGATTTATTCAACACTAGTACAAATTAATTTGAAGAGATTTTGACAGGAAAAAAATGACATTATGAAAATGCAAACCAAATAAGACGCTAGTTCTTGGGAGTTGTAGGCTCTTACCTCTGACTGGTAGGGACGGGGGACTCTCCGAGGGAGGGCAAGCTGTGGCCCCCGGTTCTTAGAGGGGTGCTGCTGACCCTCCCACCTGGCTTGTTTGTTGGTGGCCCAGTGTCTGGGGTGTGCTGGGCAGCGGTGCTTTGGGGGCTGGAAGTGTTTTCTGTCAGTCCGTTCCACTGCGTCATCACCTCATCTGCTCTGTGGTCAATCCCCACATTCATCTCCTCCAACTTCTGAATGGATCTGAGCAAAAACACAATCTCAATGAAGTTGTGTTTCATTAATTAAATCACTGATGTTGACTCTTTTAAGGTGACTTGCTCACCTGCTGAGGAAGGTCTCAGTGAGGTTGTTTTGGGCAATGTCCTGCGGCTTCACCCCTCCCTCCAGTAGCATCTGTTGGTAAAGTTGTCTCTGATGCTGCTTCTGCTCCAGATGCTGCTGCACTCGGAGACGCTGCCGGTGATACTCCTGGATGTGCTCTGAGGACTCGGGATGCTGGACAAACACACATCCACACAGCGAGGGGAAAATCAACTTATACCGTGGGGCTTGTTTTTGCAGAAGATGTCGAAAGAACTCTCTAGCAACTTCCCCTGAGCAGGTTATTATCGCCTATCAATATTCTTTGCTTCAATGCTTGGCAGTTCTCATTGCCACAACACACACCAGATTATAATAGACCAACTCTCCCGAGAGCCCCTACTGACAACTCTTCAACTCCCAAGGCCTCGTCCTCCATCATCCATCCCATAAAAGGTTTTCAAGGACCTCATATCACACACACACACACACAATCCAATCTGCAGCTACTTTGCTCCTGCATGGGATGGGATCTGGGATGCATAAAGATGAGCGATGATGGACAGCGGGACATCTCGGGTGTGACCCCCCCCCCCCCCAATCAAACCAGGTGATCTGCCTCCGGTGTCCATGACCTCCACTCTCTTCACTGGGACAGGGTCGGACCCCGTGGACAGAGGTGGGGGGAAATTGGGGAAGGATTTATGAGGCAGTGGATACAAGGTGGTTCAGGGGGAATGTATTCTAAATCTCTAAAATATGGAGTAATGACCGTGGAGGGGAGACAGACTTAACATCTTACTCTGACCAGACAGACACCCATGACTTTTTACAGTCTTTACATAAGTCATGAAACCAATTCAGCCTGAGCAACCAACAGTGATAGACACTCCACAACTCAAGAAAAGATTGGGCTTTACATTGCTCTGAAGGTTCATATGAACCAGAACTAGTCTCAACATATACAACAAGTTACTGTTTAGGGTTTGGCTTTCTTATTACCTCATCTGTGTCCGTGCTGCAGGGGGGCCCGCCATCTTTTCCGGGGGTCAGAGGTGTGCGAGTTGTTTTGGGTCCATCCAGCCCTTGTGGTTGCTTCCTATAGACAGGAAACAAATGGAAATGTAAAGTGAACTTAAGGAAAATAAAATAAAGTAAGTAGAACAAATAAAATCACAGACTCTCTGTATATTTAACTTGAGAATACACCGTATGTAGCGAAAGGAAATACATTGAATGATTGCTATTCGTTTTGCAAAGTCTTATGACCAAGTCATATGCCAATGCCAGAGCACTTCAATACAATTAGACATGCTACATTTATTTTACTAAAATAATTATGTTTTAATGTTAATGTTATTATGCGGATTTGATTAATTGTAATCATGGCATAAATTGCATTACATACTGCAAGACAAATTCCTGTAAAGGATGAGCGATCTCACTTTTGAACCAGTTGAGAACATTATTGTTTCCAGCAGGTGGAGCCATAACAACATCCAACAGTGAGACAAACTGCTCAGTTTAAGGAGTTCCCTCAACTCATGTATTACATCCCTGTGTCCTGCATTACTTTACTTTTTACTTATTTGCATTTCCCTTGTAGAGCAAATATGTCAGCTCACCTTTACTTTTAATACTTTTATGGACTTTACACAAGTTTTGCCTAATTTCCTATGAGACCCTACTGAATCAACTTTCAAATGAGTAAAATTAGTTTCTATATGTTTTCCATTAAATGCTTTAGATTATATTTGATCCATCGGCTATCAGCTGATTCAATATAATTAAAGCTTGCTACATAAACTGTATCACTGATATTGGACAACCTGAGTTTTGGAAATCCATGGTTAAGTATGTAAAACAAAAGTACCATCTGCTAATAAATCAGTTTATATGTGTTAAGACACATACAGTTGTGAAAGTGATTGAGGGAAAGTAGCAATAATCAGAGCAAAACATGTGATGGGATACTTTTAGAAGACAATAAAGTGTGTTATCGCGACAGGGGAAAAGTTGTTTTGCAGTGATACAGGCTCATAGTTTTGCAAATGAAACGGGACGGTATGTATTGACACGTATTGTGCAGTGCTGCAGACATTTGTGGTACTGAACTTCAGCCATCTGTTTGTCCTAGAACATAACTAACACAAAACACATTGCTCACAGGTGTGCTCATGCTGACCCTTACTTCTCAGGTGAATCGTCCTGCTGATGCAGATTATTCTCCACTAAACTCCGACTCAGGGCCGACATCATGCTGGCCTCCATGCCTCTCTTGTCCTGGGCAGCCAGGCCGTGGGACAGGCCGTCCAGAGCTGGGTTGAGGGACCTGGACATGTAGGTGTCTGCTGAATGTGGCCTCTGGCTAAAGGGGGAGGTCGGGCAGGGGGACAGGCGGTTGATCAATGGAGTGAGCAGGTCAGCGTGGCCCGCCTTGCTGGGCTTCACCAGGCGGTCCACGTGGATGTTGAGGGTCTTCTGCTGGAAGGCGCAGGAGAAGGCCCCCGGAGAGACGTTCTGCAGCCAGGAGAGCAGGGACAGGTCCAGCTCATCACAGCCATTCCCACAGAGCAGATCCACACCGAGCAACACCTCCCCCTCTGTGATCGCCTCACCAGTGGCTTTACTCTGAAAAATAGAAGCAGAGGACTTTTCGTTGAGTTTTTGTGTATGACTTTCAAATCAAGGCTGAAGACTTTTCTTTTTGCTGCTGCTTTTAATTGATATATTCATATGTCACACTGCACTGTAACTTTCATTCATGTACATTTGCTTTCATGTTTTATTATCTTTGCTTTCAAATTAGTGTTTATAAATGCCATTTTATAATATGTTTCTTAATGCTCTTAATGTCTTTCATTTTTGTAAAGCACTTTGAATTGCCTTGTGCTGAAAGGTGTTGTATAAATAAACTTGCCTTGCCTATGACGATTTTGAAACATGTAAGGAATGTTTTGTAATGTTTTATAACAGCTTCTTTTATTTGCATATTGACAGACTGGTTAATGTGCCATTTCATTTGTGTTTTACGACAGCTGTATTTGTCTGCCTGTATTGTTTTGTGTTGTTCATGCTGCCTTCGTGGCCTGGTCGCTCTTGAAAAAGAGATTCTAATCTCAATGAGACTCTTACCTTGTTAAATAAAGGATATATATATAAATATAATCAGATCTGACATGTTCGAAAACTTGAAAAGTCAATTTAATAGGTTTAGCGAGGTAGCATTAGGTTTGAGCCTTTTAACATCTAATGAATGTTACCCAATTCATTTCCAGAGTGTCACATTACCTGACAGAACTCCACACAGCACTCGTACAGAATCCCTTTGATGAGCAGCTGGAAGAGACGGTTCCCGCTCGCCCTGAAGCCTGCCTCGCTCAGCTTTCTGTCGGCGGGGATGAACTCAGCCACCATAGCACAGGCTTCTTCAAAACAGTGGACCCGTGCCGTGCTGGGGTTCCAGTCTTTGAACTCTGCGTGGTGGGTGAGGCGTGGCAGGGTGAGGAGGAGACAAAGCTTGCTGTAGTCGTCTTTGGTCGGACAGAACTCCTCCAGACTGTGAAGACACTTGACTGTCGCTTGCATGGTAAGCTCCAGCTGAAGTAGATGTACAATTCAAAAAGGAAATGTGAGTAAGTGGCTGTAAGATGCTCTTTTTGCTTCATAGTCACACAGCTGTGTCAAATCCATTCAATCACACTTACACCATTGGATCTAATGAGACTATTTTCAAATTGCCAATAATCATACTTGGTTCCTTATTTCATATTCACGCACGTTTTGAGGGTCTTCAGCCGCAGACATGGCGTTATTTACACACAGAGCTTCTAGAAACTTCTGCTTCAGTATAATGTAGCGGAACCTGAAAACACAAATCTCAGTATTAAAAAGATGACTTTGTATGACATGAATTCAATAACTCCAATTGGACATTTCCTAGGCTGGATTGTTGTTGATAAATCTGTCAATGAACTAGGATGATTTGTGCTGAGTGTTTGGTGGTTAGAAAGAAATAGAGGCCGTCAGGAAATGGCATGATCATGCCACTGCAGTACTGAGAATCACCTAATTTAGGTCCCTAGGCTACCAGTGGCCTGCTTAACTCGTAAGTCTACACTCAGTCACTTTTGAAGGGAAACATTATCACAACTCCACACAAAATTAACAAGCTACAAGCATCCTACAGCTCTACCTCCAAGAGTTTCAGGTAGGTCTCCTCCTCATAATGTGATAGAATAAATACAAAATAATCTGCATGTCATGTTAGAATAATTCACCTTTTCTTGTCAAACTTGTCCATTCCTTCCAGAGGTTGAATGAACTGCATCACCTCCTCCCACTGGCCGTCCAGAATGAGTTGTCTGTTGAAAGCAACACATTAACAATTGAGGAGGACTCTAGAAAGCCTGTTCCCATCACAGTGCAGCCAACCACAGAACCAACCCAGATCTTAAAAATACAGCACTGCCAGATAAAACTAAAAAGTCTAATTTTCTCTTTAAGGACACGAGAATAATCCGTTATCCAACACACAGGTCTGCTGTACAGTCGTACCTGAGGAAGAGCATGTCGTCAGAGTAGAGTCCATTGATGATGCCGCTCTCCTTCTCTAAGGCCAGCATGCTGATGTGGAGCTTCCTGGAGTTCAGGAAGTCCAGCATCAGCTTGATCACCTCCGCCTCCTTGATGGCGATTGTCTCCTCTGCCGTCATAGTTACAGATATTTGGTCGCAGCTTACACAGCTGGATGAAATACACAGAGAGAGAAGAGGAGATGCTGACAATGTTGCATCAATAAAGAAAGAACCGTTAATGGTTCTTAAACAGTACATTATCTAATTAAACCCTAATACATGGATTGAAATGAATTGGTGAAATCTCAGTTTTAAATTGTTAGTTGTTTAGTCATGTGATATCTTTTTCAATTGTTCAGGAATCTCAGCTTATAAATATCATGCAATCTGTTAAATGGCCATATGTTTTAAATGTTCTGTAAAACGGTGTAAAACGAAAAACACAAGCTAGGTATTGGACTTAAGAAAAGTGTAGGCAAGTTAATTAGTGACCAAACAATAATAACTGTTCTGATATGAGTCACTTATACATCATTATCTGTGTGTGTGAAACAAAAGAGTGTGCCCTGACAGGTTAACAGTTTGAAATCAATGTTAATGATTTAAACACTGACAAATGGTCATTCTTTATATGACACAAATGCAACCAATTACAATACACTCTTATGGTTTGAACAGCTGGTCAGTAACAACACTAACCTGATGTGTATTTAAAATCAACTCTTCTTAAGGAGCTTCTGATGTCTCTGAGCCTCCAGTTTGTTAAAACGGGATCTTACGGTGATGAGCATTCATTACAATTGTAGTGGCTTGCAGTCCACTAAACATTTAATAGCAATCATTTGCTCTGAACGTAAGAGTATCTTCGATGCACCATAAGGTGGGGCTGTAAATAGTTAATCACAGAAACATCACAGAGGCAGCTAGACAAAAACATGATGCATCTTCATAATGCATGATCCTCTTGCCCTGTAAGAGCAATAAGAGGCTAAGAGAGCAGCGATGCCCCAGAGGTGTGTGTGTGTGTGTGTGTGTGTGTGTGTGTGTGTGTGTGTGTGTGTGTGTGTGTGTGTGTGTGTGTGTGTGTGTGTGTGTGTGTGTGTGTGTGTGTGTGTGTGTGTGTAGGAGACTGTCGGTGACACCGCCCTGTTCCTCCCTAAACACAGAAACAACATCCAGCTCTGTGCATGTGACAGTAGGTCTGCGGCCCAAACCTGACAGCCTCAGCACTTTATCTGCGCTCACCCCACACACACTTGTTTACCTGAGTATGACACCACATAGCGCACACACCAACAGCTGTGACCAGCATGCAGAACAACAAGAGCTAATGTCATACATTTCCACTCTAATGTGCAGAACTTCGCGCATGGCTACACCGGACGGTGCAGGCTAACACGCCGTCTTGGATCCGTGCCAGCTCCTCACCTGTCAGGCTTCGCCAATAACACGCCGCATTAAAGCCGCTCCAAACCGTCTGCAGTCTCCAATGATACAGTATGTCCGAAGAAGGAAACAGGAATTGGGTGTTTGAATGTTGAAATCCCGGTCAGCGTCTCCAAAAGGTCCCTTCTTCCCTCTCTCTTGTACACAGCTCGCGGTTGCCATGCGGACGCAGCCGCAAACCACCAATCAACTGTAGTGATGACGCCCTGCAGTCACACATACAACACGGCGATACAAATAATAGTAGGCTACACCTTAAAAAAGGCGTTTAGGCTTGTATTAAGCTCACTCTAATTGTGGCTTACAAGACACCTAATATACTAAATACAAATTAATTACAACCTACGCAGCGTATTTAGTTTTTATGATATGGGGCATTCTACCGAATTAGTAGCCTACAAAGTGTGGTCCCACAACAAGAAAAACTATTTAACAAAACCATTAAGTATTCAGACATATATATTATTTACTAAGAACATGTTATGGTCTATTTAAACACAAGGCATTACATTAGATAGTGATAAGCTTAATATATACAAACACATCATTTATAGGGTAGCCTACTTTCTATTGGGAAGTAGCTGTCCCCAACCCTGACATCTACATTTCAATTTCTGTAAATAACACTTAAAAACGTTTTTATTTTATTTTGTTCAATGGTGTATTTAGAATACCTTTATGATTACATTCAAACAGAAGTTGGAATATTTAGATTTATTGTGGGTATCATTTTTTAATAAAAAAACTATACTCAAAAAAATCATGTCCCCAGTTTTCATGTCACTACCGAAACACAAGGGGTTTTAATCCAATGGCTGAGCCTGGTTTTTAGCCACACCCCTGTATTTTTGACTAGTGACACTGCATCCCTGTCCCTCATGGCTGAATGGCAAGTATATATCCCATACTTTTGATAGAAATCTGTTCCAAAATCTGAAAATCGGCATTAAGAATGGTCACTACCGAAACATATGGTTACGTTTCGGTAATTAACATGATCGTTTTGGTAGTGACGAAATGGAATGGTAAGCAAATCCCACCATTTAAAAAAAAAGTGTTTTAAAGTCGGAAAATCAGTGTGTTACTTTAACGGTCTCTTATGATACTATTGTTAGGCATATATTATAGGTCTCAGATATATAAAAAAACATGTCTATGAAGTGTTTTGCTCAAAATACCAAACAGATCATGCATTCCTCATTCCCCTCTATTTCAGCCTGTTACTAAAGTGCTGATTCTGGGTCAGTAGCTTCAAACATTCACACTTCAACATAAGGCATGTTATGAGTTAAGATTAAGCAATAAGGTTGAGGGAATATGATACAACCTTGAGAAAAAAATACTGTGGTCACTACCGAAAAATAAAATAAAGTATATTGAGTTATCAACTAAAATGATATACTGATTGGTTTAATGTTCAATTTCAACAATCATCAACTCTGGAATCAATATGATCAGTATTATGCATTTTACAAAGAAAGTTTACATTATGATTTTTATGAATTATATAAATTGAACTTTGAAATTTGATTAAAAATGAACTTTTATGAATTTAATTGTGAAAACCCTCAAGAAATATTTGTTAAAATACTATTTAGAGAAGGGAAGGTAAAACAATATTAACAGGTTAATATAATACTTTTTTACTACAGTGTATGTACTATGTTTCGGTAGTGACCATTTTTGGTAGAGGAAGAACATTCCAATACAGTCTGAAAAAACGATATACAAATACGGTTCTTTTACTAGATGTGTAACTTAGATATGGTACAAAATATATATGGACAAAGTTTTGGGAAAAAAAACATACAACATTTCAAAACATTTCCAACCTGACTTTGGTCCAATTCGGTAGAATGGCTCATATACATTCGAGCCCTCGCACTTCTATTGACCTAAACAATTAGAAAAAGCATTTTCGGTGCTAAACCTTTATATATAGGCCTACAGTCTATGTGCTAAACTTACTCAAATTATTAATGTGTCTTATGTGGCAATCATAACTGATGTGTCATGAATTGATAGCATTTGAGTAATAGGTGTGTCCTATTCGTCCCATTTAGTCATACAGTGATATGAAATTAAAGTTATTGAAAAAATCCAAGAGTTTCAGTTAAAAAAAATCTGTTGGCTATTTCATAAAAATATTTATATAAAATAGGAAAAATGCACTTAAATCATATAGGCTACAAATAGTGAGTCTCCTACTCGTCTACTTTAGTTATATCATGCTGCAATGGATTCAGAGTCACTGGGCCATATGATATGGAAGCTATTGAAAAAAAACAAGACTTCAATTTTGAGAATGCCTTACATTACTGTATAGCCCCAGAACAAAAGTGCTGATGTAATGTTTTTGCAAAATGTCTACTGTATATATTTTTTCAACAACTTAAATAAAAAATGAAATCCCAAACGTCCTAAAAGTAACCCATATAAATAATATAAATCCTACCTTGTTTGATTTTACAATTAAAACCATATAAATGCTGAGACCATGCTTAGTTTTATTGAATGCCAAAAAAAGACAAAAACTAAGCAAAAATTCAACTTCAATTTCAGCAAAAAGTTGAATGACAGCACAGCGTCTGACAAACAAACAAATTCATCCTAAATTGGTACACTTTCAAAGGAACATACTGTACAATATCATTACAGTTTAAATAACCATTCATCCTGGTGGACAGAGCTTCTGTGGATAAATCCTTCGATTAAACAACAGGGAAACACTCCGTAATAGATTACATTTTCAATGACATCTACATGCTCTGTTTTGGTCATAATATCCCTTCAGTCATAAACAAAGCACCCTGTCAGCAGATTCCATTTTTCCATACCCGTATGCAGCAACAAGGATCTCACTTATTCTGCCTTTGCTAATTTAATCTTTGAAATCTAATAAAATGACTATATATCTGGCCATTTTAGGACATGTTACATGTATGCAACATCGACAATCACCTAATGCGTAGTTTGGGTCAACACACATTTCTGAATTTAGAGCAAACATGAATAAAGGTGTTGAAAATGACAATCATAATAAAAGTTTGGCCATGTTCATTAATCAGGCAAACATTGCTGTGATGTCTTTTTCTTTTAATAACAGAGCAATTGATTTCTTTTTGTGAATTTGAAAATGTAAATCTTTATTACATTTTGTGTTTGGTGGATACCTTTACCAAAAGTGCCTAAGAGTAACATAAGTGTAGACTTTGTTAGGATAGTTGTGAATCTGAAGAATGTAATAATGTTGAAAACAAAGTAATAGTACATTTTTTATTTGAAATCCTGATATTGCTGTGAAGAGAAAAACCTTACTGTAGGTGTCATTATGATCTGACATTGAGTCATATTCCTGATATCAGTGGGTGAAAGTTTAATTGTACAACATAATATACTACAAAGATCCTACATGGTGCATTAGGCAGCATTTCAAAATAGAATATAAATAATACTGAAGAGTTTAATTTGTTCACAATGTGCTCTGAAACAGCAGCAAAGTGATCTCAAACACTGGTTCTCTGCCTTTTGTGGCTGACGCAATGCTGACTTTTCACTGTCCATCAATTTGACTTGATTGAATACGTCTTGAAGTTGCAACTACTACTGTATATTTTGAGAAAGAATAATACAAACATGACAGCATATTTGTATATAAGAAATATACACACATCATACGTTAAATTGTCTGCATGTGTCCCTACACACAGGTTGAGAACCAGTGATCTAAAGTAACTTCCTGCATTGTTTAAAATCACTTTCTTAAAAAGGGGTTTGAAAAAAGCTGAAACCGCTTCGCTTTGTTGAGTTGAACACACATTAACTGTGTTGCTATTACTAGCTGTATGCAATTCATTTTTTGGCCCTTTGTAATTTAACGTACCTTAATATACAAACTGTTCAACCTACAGAGATGACAAAAAGTGTTCTTCCAAATACAAAAAAGCCTCTGTATACGCTGTCTCGCAAACACCTCATTGCGCTCCCCCGCTCAAACAAACGCGTATAAGGCCCCACAACAGGATAATGCACAACATAAATCAATCTGTACATGAATTCAAAACATTCAGTGCTTCGTTAAAATGTCCTGGCATTCATACCGTCTCTTTTTTGACTTTTGGCACATAGGAAAAACAACACTCACACATGCCTTCATAATTAGACTTAAACATGTAAAATCTCTAAAAACACAGCTGTGATAAGCATTTACATCATTCTTAAAAGGTGGCATACATTCCAGCTGTTCATAATCTTTGAGTCCTATCATGTCCAGTCCATAGTAAGTAGTAAAGACAAGGACAGGAATGCAATAAGAGGATAAAACAAACACACATTAATAAGACAAGTATGCATTCATCTAACTGGCATTGCAGGTGCTTGAATCTTCATGGATATTTACAGTGAAGTGCAAATTGAAATGGGTATGTTCCATTTGAGGGGGTAATGGTGAAGTCTGGGGTATCAAGTTCCATTAGGACTGGACAGGCACTACTTTTTTAGGGGTGGCGGGCTTCTTGGTGTGCCAGAGATGGCTGTGGATGGTGACCGCGTCCACGCTGGCTGACATGGTCTTAGCTGGAATCTGACTGAACTGCTTCTTGTCCGAGTTGTACTTGTAGAGGCCGTCGATCATCTTACGGGTGATGCTCTTGGGGCCGATACCTGTCAGCTTGTTGATCTCCTCCATCTCGGGGCAGCAAATGTAGAGAGAGCGAAACTGACAGCCGCCATCTCGGAACAAAACCAAGAAGTTGCTGGCCTCGGATTTCTCCATTTCCTGTTAATGTCAGGGGAAAAAGCTCATTAGTTCATGTATACTGAAGGAAAGCAACCCTATATTTGTATGTCCATTTCCCTAGGTGGACTAGCCATACAATGTGTTGAATGTCACTGTGATGGAAGAATAGTTAACTTAATATAACTTGATGTATTTGTTTGAATTTGTACTGTTTCCTGGTTATAGAAAAAACCTTAACCTTAAACTTAATTTTCCTCTAAATGTATTTCTCTTTCATCAACAAAATAATTCCAGCCTTTCCTCCTTTGCCGATCAATGTTAAGAAACAGTTCATTATATGTCCTGCAGAATTAAAAGCTTTTTCTTCATTGAGGGGCTTTTATTGTGAAACACCTTTTGTGAGAAGTGTATACTTTTCTTTTATACAAGTACAAAATAGAAATGGAAATAGGCAGAGATAAAAAGGTCCCACTTAACATTTTAATCCACAAAGTTGTATGTGGCGTGCATATTTAGGACACCCGACCCCTGCAAGTGTAAATAACAATAAATCAAACGCTCCGTGCCGTTACCTCCAGGATCTTGTTCTTTTGGCCCTCATTAACCTTGCCTGCGAGGCAGCAGTGGGCCAGAGCGTTCTGGATGATGTGCTTGTTAGATTTGGCACTGGGCTCCTTGTACAGCTTCGGTCCTGAATGAGAAGAGAGAACGTCTAGATGGGACTGTTGTCATGGCAACTACTCTAGCTATGTCCAAAAAAAGATGTTCCCTTCCTATTCTCCTCCTTTTTCTCTTGATAAATCATGTATGAAGATTGCTACTGGTTACATATCCATGTGTTATTAGAGGCATTCATGTTTTAAAGATCTATTGAGCGATACGAGAGGATGACTTAACTTTGGTAAAATACAAATGACAATATTAAAAAAGCACAACGCTACTTAATCATACTCTTTGTGCCTCTTAACAGATTACCCACACTACCCTGTACGTTCAATATTAGCTGCATTGTAAGATCCAAAAAAGTAAAAATATGTTTATGATATTATTTCATATCATTATCTCATGTTAATATGAACTTTAATGTGTTTAAAACATACAATGACATATATACAGTTTAGCTGTTTAGTCTGCTAGTTTTAACATCTTACAACCAATGCTACAGAAGATATGTCCGAAGTTTTCCTACCAGTGTACTCTGCGTTGGATATGACAGAGGAGGTTGTGGATCCGTTCTCCCAGTCCTTTTCTCCATTCCTGCTGCTGGAGCGGCTCGGGGACAGGAAGCCATCTGCAGAGTCTGGCCTAAAGCACACACACGTATACAAGCAGTGTCAGATTACCTTTCTGCATGGTTGCTGAGTATACTGTAGGGAAGGCAGGAGACTACGGTACTACTACACAAGGTGGCATCTCTAAAAACAAATCCTATAGCAGCAGTTGGTGTGATTTTACCTCGCTGTCGACATTATGTTGGTATATATTTATCCTTTACTGTAGAGGGATTTATTTGTACTATTCCAGCCTAACTAGTAGCAAAGCGTGCAAGCACAGGCAGGGAGTGCAGTGATGTGAAGCAGTCTGGTGCAGTGAAGGTCAATCAATTATAGTGCAACACAAGGCATTTACTTGCTCTTTTTCTGGATTGCAACTGCATTTTCTCCAGAGTGTGTTCCATAGAATTGGTCTTGAGCTCTGAACCAAACTAAAACATTTACTTTAATGTTTTTATAGGTGTGAAAAAGCCAGAGCGGGAGTGGACATTGGTGAGGAAGGTACAGCAGAAACGTAAGTGAGAAAGACAAGTGATTTTGTGGTGGCGATGCAGCTAAAAGGGCTGAAGTGAATCATGAGGGAATAAGTTGATTTTTCTTCAAGTGCTCTATCAATCCATTATAAAACCCAGGGTGTGGAAAGGGTTTTAGTGCAGGATTGGGCTCAGGGCAGCGTGAAGAGGCTAAAGGTTTAACCGCTAAGCAGAGACTAACCTTCTCCTTCTCAGTTTAGGAGAATTCAGATTGTAGAAGAGACCACCAGATGCTAAGCTAGCACTTCTGATGTGTGTGAAACAGCAGGAAAGAAAGTTTTAAAGAAGGAAGATAGAAGAATACAGGAAACATGTTAGTCCTGAGAACTGGAGTTAGTGAAGAGCTTGGCTTTCAAAACACAGAAAAATCTGAACAATCACCTTTACTGCACATGAAGGATGATTACATAATGATGTTTAAAAATGACTACAAAGTCAAATGTTCAGGGCATTGCAGTTCCATATGTCAGCCCTGTATAATTAGTGAGCATTTACTGTTCCTCCAAAGTTGCTAAGTAACTGTAATTCTTAAATTAGGTAAACCAGATTGACATTTCTAATTATTTCTAATAAAAGCAGGGTGCCAAAGTCCTTTATTTTGTTTTAGGACTGCCGATTTTCATATTTTTGATCATACAGCAAAGAACAAGCTGGCATGAATGCACATACGTAGGTTTTCACCTAACTGAATGAATCAGAGTTATGAATCCAAACGTATGACATATTTAAAAAAAGATCTTCAAAACATCAAGGTTTAAGTTAACGGTTATAATACTATACTATAATAATAGTAGGGACCAAATTATTACAAATATTTGTATTGCATTTTACGTATGTTACTTCATCAGCTAGAGTATAGAGTTGTAAAAGCATCTCACCTTGGCAACCTCTTCTCAGAGTGAACACTGTCGCTGTCTCCCAGGTTGAGGGAAGCCAGGGACAAGCTAGAGACTGAAAAGACACGTTGGCGTGAACCTGGATGTGAGGCGAGATGTGACACAGCATGACACGGTTACACAGACACAATGAGAAACACAACAGCAACACAACCAGCCCGCTGTCCACTGGGTTTTCTGCCAAACCCTGTTGCAGAGCAATGCAATCTCAGTGTTATAAAAAAAATGTACTCTAACAGCCAGTAATACACACAATATTCACATGGTCATACCCTGTAACACATTACTCTGTATTATTATACAGTATATCATTCATTATTTTTATTTGACCCATACAAACTTATAAACATACAATATTATTGCATTGCTCCTTCAGTTTCATTATGTTTAAGCTCAACATGTTCGTCCTACTGTATCATTTTGGGTTTGTTGTCTTACAATACAATACAAATTGCCAATAATATTGGAAATATCAAAATTAACTCATTTGAAATCTGAACTAGACCAAATAAGATATATATTTTTTTTTATTTAGTTATGGAAAATAAAAAAATATACATAGGAGATGATTGTGATTAAAACATATTTCTCAAGTGGCTCAAAGCACAGTGGCAGCAGGACACAGATTCGACAGATGGGATGACCACGACCCTCTGAGTGGGGGTCGTCTCCATGGTTACCTGTGGCAGCTCTGACAGGGGTTTTGGGGGAGTCCATGCTTTCGCGATGGATAGACTTTGGACGACCCCGCCTCTGCTTGGCCCCTCCCACTGGTCGAGGTTTGATGACAGTGTCCATGTCCTCCATCAGTTTCAGCTGCTTCCTCCTGAGATACTCCTGTTTGATGAACTCCCTCCTGACCTTCTCTTCCTCCTTCCTCATGCGCTCCTCTTCTGCTTTCAGTCTGCACAGAACAGAGGGATGGGTCAATGCAGAGAAATACTTTCAGGGGTTTTCTGTTAACTATGAGTCAATCATGATTTAGGATTCTAAAAAGAAATACAATATCAACCAAGTTATACATTCTACATTTTTCCTTTTATAAAATACATAAAAACATTTGGCAATGCAGTCACACTTTCCTTACTTTCTGATGAAAACTAACTTGCCTATTCTTTTTTGGACAGTGATATAGAGATTTATTTACAACCATAAAGGGAAAAGAAAGTAAACAAAGGCAGGAAGTAGACAGGATTGAAAACAGTTTAAAACATTGACACACCAAACTGCCTGTTAAATATTGTTGACACAGTGCTGTGCTCTATTCTGAAAATGCGTATGGACTTATTTTCCAGATCATGTGTCGACATACCGAGCTTCCTCCTTCTTCTGCTCCACCTCAGCCTCCAGCTGCATCTTCCTCTGCTGGCTCTCCTTCTCCCTCCTCATCCTTTTCTCCAACAGTGCAGCCCTCTTCTGAGCCATGTCCTCCTCGGCCACACCATCCGCCTGAGACGTGAAGGAAGCAAAGTCAGTCACTTCACACCATCTACAGTTTTTATAATGAATGATGTAATTCAAACTGTTACTGTGAAAGCTCCACTCTCCTTTTTGTTATGGGATGAGACTGAGTTGGAAAGGTACATTCATCGGTATTCTTATTGAATTTAAATGTGAACCGTTATTATGCAAATTGTTTTTATTCTGTTATTCTTCACGTCATTTGTATAATGTATTGTTCTCAAGATAGTCATATTAGGCTGCTAATTAGTATAAATTGATTTTGTTTTCATGTGAACATCCTTCGCTCATCCCCCAGCAGCCACCATCTATTTAACCCTTCTTTACCCACAGCTGTGCCTGAATTATTCACAACAGCCCCAGTTTTATGACCTACATCGAAACACAGACTGCAGCTAGCAAGCCATCTTCCAACCCATTAATAGGAAGATGATGCTTTTCTCAGCAGACATGGTTCCTGAATCATTCATCATCTTGTTGTGTTAGAAACAATGATAAACACCAAACATGGCTGCCTCAGGTTCAAATGTAATTGTGTTTAACCCAGAACTGCAGCATTGCTTTTTGATGGCCTTGAATGGTCCTGGATAGTTTCTACATGGACTCTGTATACTATGTTTTTCATCATTTCTATTGGTGACACACATTGGAGACATTCTTTTGTATCATCTGCGTACCTTGAAGAAGAAACCACGAGATATCTTCTGTTCGTGATCAGGGCCGTCCTCCTCCCCCAGCTGCATCTCCAGATCATCATCAAGTGTCAAATCTTCCAGTGGCTTCACGACCGACAGAGGAACCTCTATCAAGCTGCTCTTCACTTGGCCTGGGTCTTCTGGCTGGGGAGGGATCTCTGAAGGTGTCACTGTGAACGTCTCTACCACAGGATGGGCCAGAACCTCAGGGACTGATGACTCTATGAGAGGTTTCAGAACTGAATCTGCTTCGGTTGGTTCTCCTTTGAGCTTGAGGTTTGGGGAGCTGGGCGCTGAATTAGCTACACATATACTGGCACTCTCCCTCTCTGGGGAAAGGAGTGACTCTGTCTCCTTGTTTTTATCTCCATCTATTGTATCTGGATTGGCTGTTGCTGGTTTCTCACCCAAGTAAGCCATGGCATATGCCAAGGGCTGGGAGGGAGAAAACCGCCGTAGCCTGGGGATGCTGTCGACAGATTGTGGGGCAGTTAGGACTCGATTATAAGGGGCAAGCTTTAGCTCGTTGGGCCGAGGGTTGCGAGGAGTACGTGAGTGGAAGGAAGCAGATTTGCGTTTAATGCTGGTTGGAGAGCGGTGAGTAGAATGAGGAGAGTCGGCAGGAGAAGGGGGTCCTGAGGATCGGGTAACGGCTCGACTCTGTTTTTGTGGTGATGGGTTTGCGTATGAAGGAGGGATGACCCAAGCCTGCTGCTGGTGTTGTTTCTCCCTCATGGCCATGATCACTTCCTGCTGCTGAGCCAGTCGCTGCATCTCGGTCTGAAGGAAGGCTAGTGAATGGTTGAGTTTGTCAATGGAACGTGTGTACTCTGAGAGATCTCCCTCTGTTAGCTGAGCCTGGCCCTGACCACCTTCCTCTCCTGCACACGGTGACGTTGTCCAACAGGAGGCCGTGCTGCTTTGCTCTGCACCATCAGGTGTGTCTGCTTTGCTCCTCCCAAGTGTAAAGGTAGGACTTGTGCTTGCTGCCTCAATTTTCCCTCCTTCCTCCCCACTTGCCGCCCCGTCTCCCTTTCTCTTGACCACAGTGAGAAACGCAGAGTGACCAACCTTTTGTCGATGCCTTGTAAAAGCAGCTTCTACTTTCTTCTTCTGTGCTTCGATGGCTTTGCGTTTCTCCTCCAGCCTCATCCTCAGCTGTACCATCTCCGTAGCCATGACCTGAGCAGGGTCATTTGCTGGCAGTTGTACAGGTGTGGGCGATGTTTTAGCAGTGAGGGGGGATGGGGTTTGTTGACGGATGGGGCTGTGCTCGGGGGTCGGGGCCCAGGAGACGGATAACGGAAGGCCAAACTCAGAGCCCTCAGGAGTGGTCTTGAGTGAGCTGCTGCTGCACCTCCCTGAGTCTGGCAATGATGGAGTAGGCTTCTTCTTCTTCTGATCTGCAAAGCTGGTCAACCTAAATCCTGAGGGGGATTTGCTCCGATTGCTCGGGCAGGGGCTTGGCGTGTCCATATCCAGGTCCATGTTTACAGAGCAGTCTTTCAGAGAGGAGTCCTCATCCAGCATGTCCTCTGTTCGGATATGGATGCCTGTGTCCACCTCTATAGTGTCTGTGATGCTCAGAGACCCTTTGGAGTCCAACTCTGACACTGGCTCCAAGACACCAACACCAGCCCCTTGTGGGGAGTGCAGGAAGAAGCCGCTGTTGACCCCCTCCGCTGGGGGTCTGCTCGGGCTGTGGATAATCTGAAGGGCTTCCTCAATGGAGGGAGTTGTTGCCATGACACTTCCATGTCCGTTGGGGTATGCTCGTCTGCTGGGCTCCTCACCAGCCAGGCTGTCTGGGCAGCCCTCCTCATCGATGCCCACACTCTGACCGTTCACAGGCTGGAAGGACAGGTTACGCTTCATTCCACGGGGCATGTGGTGGACTTTGAAACCAGAACCGTCATCAGTGCTGACGGACCGGACCATCCCATGCATGGAGCCGGACGCAGAGTCCTCTTTGTCAAAGGGGATGTCAAATGACACTCCATAAGGACCAGACCTTAAGAGTAAAACAAAAAAAGAAACCAAAATAAATATACAGATGTTTTTTTTTCAAATGAGCAGCCAATAAAACGTACAGCAATATAACTGACCTTTTTTCTTTTGGCCAGGTGCCGAGGTTTCCATCGACAAAGGACATAGAGGTTGACCTTTTGATCTCTCCTGGATGACGCAAGAAGCAGAGTAAGAGTTAAAACACAGGTTGTTGTACCTCAAAGTAATCACAATTAGCTAAATAAGTACAAAAGAAGTATATGAATACATTAATACAATCACCTGAGTTTCGAGGCTGAGGTCGGAGGGGTAAACTAGAGAATGAGAGAGAACAAATTACAAATGTGTAAAATATCTGTTTTAAGCTTTAATTTGTCCAGATAGCGATTGCTTCACAAGTCCCATATAATCACACCTGCCAACAACCTGTGTAAACTACTAGCCAACAAGCACAAAGTCTCATATGAACAACATTTCACGTGTTATAGATCAGACTAGCATACCTGGGTCTTTCCGGACTCGGGGGTCTTTCCATGAAGCTCTTCTTGGTTGCCTTGGAGATGGGTATGGCTGAAATGTTCTTCAACAAGGATGAGGGGTCTGTGGTCACACAACAGAGACAAATGATGATGTAACACATTTTGCTTTAAAAATATAAAGCACATACCAAGCATATACCAATACTTCTTTCTACAAATGACAATAAAGCTGCTATTGCTTTTAAAGTCAGAACTTAGAGACTTAAGACTTGCCTGTGCCTTCATGCTCCAGCATTCTTGGTTTCACAAAAGACGGCTTGACCACCTCAAACAATTGAAACAGCTCTGCCATGAACACCAGATAGTTATTCTGTGGAAAAAAAATCAAACGAGACTAACATTAAAATCACGAGTTTCAGTTACATTTTGGTATGTGTCCGGTTGTCACTTTCCCACAATACAACAGCCGTTAAACTGCATTGTACCCATCTCCCCTGCAGGTGTCTCTGTTTACACTTACAAAGAACCAGAGTTAATGAGTATTACTTGTATCCTCCAGTTTATGTATTTCACCAATCTTGTTCCATGTGACAGAGTATCCTTTAAATGTAGAGATGCCACATAGTTCTACCTGCAGTGGAGTCATTTAGAAGGGATCTATATTTATCATCATTTCAAAAAAAGACCTGTTCCAAAAAACTGAATAAACATAAAGAAAATGGCTTTCACTGAAGCTAGTGAACCCAACAACATCACTTTTCCAGACAAGCTAATCTGTCAACAGCACTGTGCTAGTACAGAGGAGTGATTAAGGCATTAACCTCATTTTTTAAATAGAGGTCAGCTATTTTTTCCCGCTCTGAATCACCAGCATGCGATCCACCAGCCAGCATGAATTGGATCGGGTAAGAAATGTTAGAGGGACCTTTGCCACAGTGTCTGGCCGTGTCCATGTCTCAATCAGGTCAACATACAGTGGGAGGTCAAGCTGCTTGAGGACACTGCACTGCAAAACATTTTCATTTTACAAATTACTTTCTCTCAGTATAATATTTTCCCACACCTACTGTTGTTTTATTTCTTTGTAACAATCGTAAAATGTGTGGACTTTGAAAATCTATTCAACTTTATCTGCACTTTATAACAAAGCCAAAATATGTAGTCTTTAATAGGCACAACATGTAAAAACACCAATGGTTCAACCTGATTTCTATTTTTGTTGACATATTAAGTCTAGATTTTGAGGGAAATGAAATGTTTTAAACACATTTTAAATGTAGTGTCAATCTTTGCAATCAGAAACAAGTTATTGTTCACTGTTAACTGAATCCAGGTCAAACAGATCTTCTTTGACCTCTCTAGGAAATTAATATTATTAATTATTGCAGCAACTCAGTGTCTATTGAAGTGAACATGGGAGCACTCACTAACAAATGCACACGTGCTCACGATATGCAAAACGAGTGCAGTAAAGCGGGGGCGACCTTCAGGAACACGCCCCTCCCCACCCTCAGAACATGGTCTCCAGACAAAGACATGCTGCACCGCTCAGCTCTAAAGATACATGATTGTCCTCATCAACAACATTTCAGTCTCCAAGCTCTCACACACACATCATACATACACTCCTTTTGCCCCTCCACTGCAGCCCAGAAGCACACCAGGAGGGGCAAAGTCAATTAACGCCAGCAGCATTGGTACCCTTGGGTTTTACTGCAGCATTTTAGCAGTTTTCATTGTTTTCTCACATGCTAGATAGCAGAGTTGCAAACGTGTGAAAACGTGTTTCGCTCTGACAAAATGGTTACCAAAATGAATAAAGTAGAGCAGAAACATAACACATTTTAATCTCTCATCAATCAGTTAATTTCTCTATCATCATTTTCTAGAATAGAAAATAATCATGTATTGTCATTATACAAGTACAACGACAAGAGTAACTACCTATGATTTGAGTTATATTTCCCTTTCTTTTAGCCAAACTGTTATGACTATAAATTGTTCTTAAGCATAGAATCACTAACACATGGCTAGACAAATACCGAAGCAGTTTACCTTTAGGTGTGCTCAGCATGTAAAGCATTCCTCAAGGACGGATAGAAAAAAAGACCCAGGTAGAAAAAAAGAAGAAAGAAATATTTCCCTATCGCCCACTCAGCTGTAATCTGTGGCGAAGCCCCGTCTGACTTCTCTTCCCATCTGCCCCTCTCACTACTACTGATACACCAGGTGTGAGTGCTATCGTTTAATACCACCAGTCAGCGGTCACACACACACTCACACAGATCCACACACAACTAAACGGCGGACCACCACTACGCCTATCTCCCTGTTGACTGGCATTACTACCTCTGCCAAGTCTGCACTGTTGCCAAGTCTGTCTGGTTTGGAGATTGGCGTGTCAGAGTGTGTCACTCTCAGGCAGAAAACAGGAACCTGATTGGTGATTAGTAGAAGAGAGCTCAGGGTTGAGGCATGTGGGGGTGGAGGGATCTAATCCGCTGTACAGGGATGGGCATGAACAGTCCATACACAACACATGCATACATAACACTCATTAAAGAGCAATGTCTTCTGGGTTTTCCTGCATACAAATGCATTCAAACTGCTTAAAAATTACATATCCATGAATTATTATTAATTAATTTCATATGTGCTTGGACAACACTGAGTGTTCATTTGACATTTATGTAAACAGTCATTGGGCAAGAGGAAAATGAAAGGACCTGCAGCCAGGCACGATCAGTTTACAGAACCCACTTTCTGAATGTACCAAACAACTTTATCAGTGTGCCCTCAAGTTGCCTATAAAACATATTTCTAAAAGTAGGAAAAACATCTGAAGAGAAATTAACTTTAACACTTCTAAAAGTGGCCACACGCAGACACGAGACGGAATGGGATGATATAATGACACTGAAAACAACGATTGGTTACACACAATCCTTCCACTCTTTTTAATGCTGGTCCATAATCTAGGGCTTATCCTGAGGCAACACTTACCGGTACTGCAAATCACTTTGTCAACTAATGACGGAAATGAACACAATACAGTTTTTGTAAATCATACTGAGAAACCAGTCTGTGTATATGGTTACATCTTTTTATAGACTTATCTGGTTTGTACAGCAATGTTAGCATTGCTTATAACATTGCTGCTTATAACAGTCAGACTTAAACGCAAGAGGATATGAAATACATGAAGTGTGTTAATTGCCTTCCTGAGGGCGACCTACAAACCTCTCCTTGGTTAAGAAGGAGAAAACACAGAAGAAAGCCCAAAGCTGGTGGATTTCATTTCTCCTTCTTAGATCCACAGATGGTATTTGAGATGTGGTGTGAATGAATTAAAGAGCCAGTAAATGGGAATGGGTTGGCATGATTTACTAGCCTGGTGTCCATTAGGAAAGAGAAGCCCTAAGTGATGTTTGGTAAGGCTTTGGGGGTTGGGTACTGCAGGCCAGTCTTTTGTCTCTTATAAAGGCAAATTAAATATGAAGCGGACTGAACCTGTTTTACTGATCCAGACTGTTCACCCACTTTCATCTCACTCTCAGAGCAACAGACCCTGAAGTCTACTCACATGGATCTCGCACAAAGAGCTTGGGTTAGCTTGGCTTTGTTGCTGTTTTTCATGGTTTCAAAACAAAATCAAGACAATTGAATGTATTTTTGTTGGCTCTTAAAACCTATAAGCATTAAAAAAGACAACAAATTAATTAATAAATAGATACATTAATCAAGGATAATGGATGTATTAGTGGGTTGCCGCCCTTATTTACATAGAATAGTATGTTTTATTTGCAAAAACCCATTTGGTTCTACAATTACTGTTATGTTCTTTATTCTAAATGGAAATCTTCTGATCTATATCAAATCTGATCCTTCAGTGTTGGGCATGTCAAAAATCATACTAAAGCTGCTGAAGATGCTGTCCCTCTTTCTCTCTCTTTTACACCTCACTGTCTAAGCGTTTCAGACTCGTGGAGAAGTGTCTCATCACTCCTCTTGGCTCCTGCTTCCATTTTTTTCCCCATCAACACCTCTCTCACCTCCCCTCCCCACTAATGTCTGGGCTCCATCTCTATAATAAGATCTGCATTAGTGTGTCGGGCCACAATGTACAGCTACTGAGGGGGTAACTGCCTGGAAACTGGGTCAAGGTGGCTGAATCTCACTGGTTCTGTATGCAGTTTTGGATGCACTGCTGCTCTCAGGCAATTGCTCTGACTGCTGGGATTTCTTTTCTTCACCCTCATAAAATCAGTGTCAGCAGAAAACTGCTGCTGGCTCGTCCACGCGATTCAATTATTTATTTTTTGATGCTTTGTGTTCAGTCGATGCGTGTGTGCTGCTGCGAGTGCAGCCATGTTAACCTTATAGGGTTTTTTCCCTGATGTATAAATATATATTGGTACAAATATCAATATGTCTGCTAATGTTTCTGAGCAACTGCATATCATATATTTTTATATAATAAAATACAACAAAAAAAGAATAGTGCAAGAAGTCTATATACACGTAAATAGAATATGATATATACAAGAACAGACTCTAAAATTAAATATTGTGTAGTAAGATGAAATTAAATACTGTTTATTACAGTGATAACTATTTAGATAAATAAATATTTTTTTTTTACCAGAGTCTAAAAAGTGCATGTCATTTCAGCCTGTGCTGAGAACAACAGTTCTCCATCAGAGGACATGCTGAGGCAGAGTAAAAGTTATCCAGAGACATTAGCTAATGCAGCTCTTTGGCAAAGACCGCTGAGACTGACACATCAGGGACAAACACACAGCATGGACAGTAAGTTACATCAAACCACTGGACAGATTACGCTTGTGTGGCAGAGTGGCTGCTTTGGGGCATTGTGGGAATTGCGGGTATTATATGAAAAGGTTTTCTGCCAACAAAAATACATTCGTTAACATAACTAGAATGTTATTTTTAGATCCAACACAGATCTTTAACATAAACAAATTAAAGTATGAATGTAGCATGTGTTTAGTCCCACTCTCTAATGACACTAGTATTTGGTAAGAGGTTACGGAGCGAGAGAGTAAGCTGTGAGTAAGAAGTGGTAAAGGAAAGAAACGGAGTGAGTCAATGAGAGACAGGAAGAGAATTACAAAAAGCTATTGTTAAAAGAAAGCATAAGAAGTCAGAATGAATCACAGTAGTAAAATAAAGACAGATCAAGCTTAGAGACGGAAACTAAGAAATCAAGTAAGAAAAGGAGAGAGTGTTTGAGGAAATATCACAGGCAGACATGTTGGAAGAGCAGCTCTCCAGGGTAGGCGTTGGTAAAGACGGATTGTTAGGATCAAATTGGTTTTCCACAGGATGACTCACCACACTGGCCTACAGAGTCACCTGTTTCTCTTGATTCTCTCATTGGATACCACAACGTATGTTTTTCTTATCAGTTTCGTCAAGACACTCATGAATGAATTCGTATAATCAATATTTGCATCTGTTTATGAAAACACTCATTAATTTAAGTAGTGTATAATTCAACATTTTGATGTCTCGCTATTTTGTAAACATGTCAACCAAGACCTGACATTTCTTCCAGATTCAAAGTAAAAATAACTTGCTTTTAAATGAGATCCCATTTGCTTTTAGATTGAGATATACTAACTGAAATTGGCATTTGTTCTTCCTGCTGGCACGCACACATTTGGCATATTCAAAGGCTCCGTTTCAGAAGCTCAGCAGTTTACATTTTGGCAGACATTTCTCCAAGAATGCAACAATGATTACACACTAACTGTAAAAGCTATTTCAGAGTGGAGAAGTGTTCTGCAGAGAGAAGCTTTGGACACCAACAAAGAGGAGCAGTATCACATTATAGTATTGAAGACATGTGCCCTATTTTGGACTAAGAACTGAAACTCTTTTAAATATCATCTAGCTCAATTTCTAAAACCAATTTCTAAAAAAACAACTAGCTTAAAATAGATTTCTGTACATATATAGACAATTAAAATACTGTTACTAGGTAAGTAACCTCAAACTGAGAAAATTGGATAATCTTGTATGTCACATACTTACTGACAAATCTATCAAGCCCCAGTCAGCAGAGTGATACAGAAGTGACAGCAAATTATTGTGATATTTAATCTTTTTTTGGGGAAATACAATTGTAAGTCTGGTGCTGCATGCAGCCAGGTTTGTGCCCTACCTTGATGGAGGAGGAGGCGTAGAGCATGTCCTCCAGGCTGAAGTGGCAGCAGCCGTTTAGGTTGTCTTTGCAGAAGTCCTGTATGAGCTGCAGGTTGTAGAGCCGGTCAGCTAGCGCCATGTTCTCCTTCAGACACACATCTGGGAGGGCAGAGGGAGCCATCAGCTGTCAGTGTGACGTTGGTATGGATTTTATGATTAACTGGGCTCTGCTTATAACACCTAAGTGGTTTTTTAGTGTACTGATGGCTTTTGTTTAAGATCAGAGATGGATGCAGTGTGTTAAATACAATGTTGAGGTTCATTTATAGTCAGGAACTGCTGAGGGGTCAAAGCACACTGCTTTGTGACTGGCCAATCATGACAGGGGGTTACATGTCATCAATCTGTGGGTGGAGTCAATTTAAACAGTGTTGAGTGATTGAGCTTTTGTTCCTGTGATGTTCTCAGTTCAATTGAATGCCTGTGTGTGGCTATGTTTTGTAGAATGTGTGTGTGTGTTTAGCCAACTATCAACACACTTCATTAGCAATGTGATGTGATTATGTGTTATCTTTAGTTTTAGACTGATCTTTGATCTTTTGGATTAACCATTCAGAAGAAGGAGACAAAATTACATAAATCTAGTATTTTTTCTGGTTTGAAAATAAAGCTTTTCAGCATGTACGAGCAATGTGCCCTGAAAACCGATTTATTCAGTTTTAGTAGACAGGAACATTGTTAGAGCCAGAAAGGTGGAAAAAGGTAGCATTTGTTTTTTTGCGGTCGACGTAGCTCTTAAATTCTTGCAGATAAATGCACCTTCAGCCCACACTGACTGTAAGCTCTTTACCGTCCAATGGGAGCAGCTGAGGGCAGTAGAAGTGCAGCAGCGCGCCCAGTGCCGAGCCGTCTGTGCTGTCTTTCAGCAGGTTGTCCACTGGGGGGATCCAGGGAACCATCTGGGTAGAGGACGGCTCCTTCCTGTAGCGGGCCTGCATACAATTAAAATTAAAATAAGATACATACCTATAAACCATTGTGCAACATTAACATGCCTACGTCTGTAGTACCTACTTTTTCTTTATTCATATCATTAACTACAGCTGCACAACTGGTCATGTTTAATGGTGCGCCAACAGCAACACTTAAGGCTTCATTAGATGTACTCATGTATGCAGGTAATTGAATGGTTCTGGAGCCTGTAGTGAAATGTTTCACTTGTTGAAAAGAAACAGCCAAAGTGAGCCCACTGAGAGGGGTAAAACACGGTGTGGCAACATATCAGTTCTACAAATACAATAAGAGCGCTTCACTGACCGTCAAGATATTGTGATCTGTGTGAGCTCTAATGGTATGATACCAGATACTTATTCCCCGTTTTCAATTCAACAAATTAAATAAGAAGTATTTACAAACCGCACAGTCAAAATGTACATTAACTGTTAGTGCTACCCAATGGTATACATTATATAGTGTTCCACTTAAACACACAATGTTAGAGGCAAGAGAGGCAATGTAAGAGTAAAGCAAGAGCTACCACAGGGTTTCGGAAACAATGTAATGCCAAATGCTCCCAGACATCCCCTCTCTGAGATGAAATTCTAATAAAATTATTAGAAATGTCTTGGCTAATCCCTTTGGACCTCTTACTGCTTCTCCAAGGGTGTCTAGTTCCACTTACAAGGACATTCACATTAGAAAATACATGGAAGCATGTTAGAGTTCATATACACAAATTCCTATTGTCTGTATAGAAAGGATATCAATAAATGTAAGCTTTCAATTACCTATAGTTAAGAGGCTGTAGAGATTAAAGGATCATGTATTTGCAATTTAAATCACACTTGACTGCTTTATTTCAATCAGAAATAATGACATATGAAACAGTTTAACTATTTCTTTCCTATTTTTTCTGTACAGTAAGTTACATGAATTCAGCAAAAGGTAAAACTTGATAATCCAAACAGGGGAAAACAGAGAGACACTGTGTTGATGTAACAGTGAAGTAACAGGTGGATGTGAACGTGATAAAATGATTGTAATCATGACACAGAGAGGTAGGGGCGGCAGAGACGGTCGCTATGGATACATAGATGAAAGCAAAGCACTGATCAGTTGACTTACGGGCACAAGCTTCATGTACCACTTGGTTGGTGACTGCAGAAGCACAAAGAAAAGACGACAAAGAAACACCCGTTAGTGAGATTTGTTAGAAATGTGATTAGTAATCCAAGGAAAGACATGACAGCAGTGACATCAAAGTGTGTTATTGAGAGTACATCAAAGTGGCAATAGGTTAATATAGTGTTAAGTTTTATATGTGTATCTTCGGTTTTTACAGCTTATATGTCCCCAGAATAAGAGTTTATTTATGACTAGACCCAACACAGGAAACCTCTATATGAATAAAATCACACTATAACTGAATAGTAAACAATAAAATATTGAACATTTGAAAAGCCAGATAAAATAAAATGCACAAAATGCATCAAAACAGGAGAAGCAACGTACAAAAAATGGTGAGGCCTTTTGTTAATGTCTTTGCAACATTGATTTCCGGGCACTAATTGATTAAGTTGTTAGAAATCACTTATCAGCTGATATAAGCTTCAATTGTTGCATGTTTTTTCCCTGGAATGCGCCCATCAAATCGACACATACAGTATCTATTAAAGACAAATTCCCAGATTTTCATAAAGAGTTTAAAGTGTCCCTGAATAGCTTAGATTCATTTGTATAAGGGACCCTGTAATGTACCAACAAAATCATAAAATGTATCTTATTGTTATTAAAAGCAAACAGCGTGTGCTTGACACCCAAAGTAACTAAAAGAAACCAAGTAAAAATCCCTGTCAGCTATCCACTGACAATGTAAGCTGAGTTCAAAAGAGAAGAGGCTTTCCTGAGTTAAATGCTAATTCCCACACTACCTAGACGCATCAAAGAACCAAATGTGAGTGCCACTCAAAACAGCTGGCAAGTGCTCAACTTCAAAGGTGAGCAATGACCCGTGAGAAAGTACAGACGCTTTGTACCGAAAGCCCCAAAATGAATAAAAAAGAAAAGATCAGCCGTAGCTTTCTTGGATCTTCCTGATTTGATTAACTCTCTGGATGGGTCTGATGGCGTCAGACACGTGATGTAATCTAATAAACAAAATGTCAGTTAATTTGTTTGATCTATTCGCAGCTGAAAGGACTGCCTATGAATCTAATGCCCCATCATGAGTGTTACAGTCTTGTTGTGTTACAAGAAAGAGAATACAGATCTGCTAAAGGTTGGAAATCCTTTCTATGTTTCTATTTATAAAAATGCTCTTTAAATACAAATGGTTGACATACAGTATGAACACACACACTCTGACCATGTATATCCCTGTCAGTATAACATTTGGAAAGTGATAGTGAATACATGGAGGTATGTTTAGGGTTTTGATAAAGGGTGCTCTGATTACAAAATGGCTACTGATGCCTATAAATCACCTACTAAGGGGTCAACCTCAACTTTCATTAAAGGACTATTCTGAATACACTTGCTGCCCTATAGTAAAACAATAAGATGAAGGAGGAGATGAAAACTGTTTGTGAATAAGTGTTCACAAGACTGTGGGCCAAGCAGGGTCACACAGAGTTTACAATCTGTTATAACCAATCAAACCCCTGGGGAACGGTAAGGCCCTCATCCATCGCCTTACAGAAGAGCACACACACACACACACACACACACACACACACACACACACACACACACACACACACACACACACACACACACACACACACACACACACACACACACACACACACACACACACACACACACACACACACACACACACACACACACACACACACACACACACACACACACACACACACACACACACACACACACACACACACACACACACACACACACACACACACACACACACACACACACACACACACACACACACACACACACACCACACACACACACACACACACACACACACACACACACACACACACACACACACACACACACACACACACACACACACACACACACACACACACACACACACACACACACACACACAGTGATCAAGGGCAGGGCGACATTGAAATGTAAAAATATGTTATGGTTAACTAACATATATTGATCTGGTTCATGACTTCCAGAGGTCACTGAAACTTGCAAAAAATATTGCATAATTCAAAAATCACAAAAAGGTCACATTTCTTTCTGAAAAACTGCTATTGGTGCATAATAAATGATAGAGGGGAGAATAATCACCAGAATGAAAGCATGAAGGATGAATGTGACATCATCTTCTAACGCACTGACCCACGCACACACACACTGATGCTAGAGTCAGTTATATAACACATTTGTACTGCGGGCAGGTCCCTGACCATGGGTGACCTTGCACTAAATGACTGCTGGATGAGACCACAGAACACTGATCTGCTGATGTGACTGAAGCTTGTTCAGTGGTCAGGGTGGACAGACTCGTTATGATGTTGTTGCCTGGCAGTCTCTCTCATTTTATAAATACTAGCTTAATCTAAAGCTCAGACATACTGAGATTCTTCAATGTTAGCTGTGCTTTAAGGGCTTAGGATCTTTTCGAGGAACTGGTCTAGATCAGAGTCCTGCATCGGGTCGGGTACCCCGCAAAAAAAGTGATTCGCGGGTGGTATTTTTTCAAACGCTTTTTTCCGGGTTCGGTTCTGGGTAAAACAAAGATGATACGGGTCGGGTCGCGGGTATTGCATAATAAATATATTAAAATAATAATAATTTAGTTTAATGTTTAAAATCCTCAGACCTCTCCCCCGCGGGACCGCGCATAATCATAACCTCTGCAGCGCATCAATCTGCTGCTGAGCGCGTCACATTCGAAATGGCTGAGGTGGAGCTCTCTAGCGGAGAATACAGCATTTTCAATAACACTTCCTTAAGAGCGAAATCCAACGTCTGGGAGGCTTCTGGTGTCATCCTAGATGGAGAAAAGAACCAACATCCCACGCTTTTTGAGACAAATATGCAACTGCGTGTGTTAATAATTGCACGTTTTCACTGCTCATAGGCTATGCGGGTTCGGGTCGGGTTGCGGATCATGGTGCCGACGGGTCGGGTCGAGTTGCTGAACTAATTGGCAATATGTGCGGGTAGCGGGGCGGGTTCGGTATTGCACGTCGCGGGTGCGAAGCGGGAGCGGGTCTTGAAAATCAGACCCGTGCAGGACTCTGGTCTAGATATCAACGTGACACAGAGCACCCAGACGGATATCTGTCAGTCAAAGGGAGAATGTTGTGGTAAGTCCATTAAGTGGGGCTAAGGATTTCATTCAGCCTGTTTGGGAATTTCCATCAAACTGTTGAAAAGGTGTATGTTTATGTGTAGTTATTGAAGTGTTGGCAGAGAGAAAAGGAAGGAAAAACACTCACCCGAGGACTCCCAGCAGGCTCTGCGCTCTGCGTCTCACTCTTCCTCTGCTGCTGAGCCACAACGTCTTTCAGATACTCATTCACCTGATGAATAGAGGATGAACAAGATTACAATTAACTAAGCATCCGTGAGCAAATATGAGTAACAGACTATGACTACATCTTATAAGTTAAGTTGATATTGAAAGCTGTGAAACATTGAAATACGATACTGAATAAAAATGACACTGTGACCAAAACAGTGCTTTATTTTGTTATTATGACTTTTAAAGAATACAACACATTTATTAAACTGTGTTTTTGTGTAGTAACTACCATTTTTGGGAATTTTCGCAACAATAGAAATACAAATGAAATCTGAATAAAATCAAATTAAGTGAATATTAACTGAAATTACTGAAATCAAATTCGATCTCACAACCCTTTCCAGTTACTTATGCCTCTGGAATTCATATGGATCCAGTTCATGCAGAAATGCAGGACATTTGAAACACATAGGAAGTCTGACAGAGAGCTAAATGTCCGAGCAGTAGGACTCCGCGACCACACCTGTTAGCTATTGTGTGTGTATGTGTGTGTGTGTGTAAAGCTCAGAGTTGGCAGGAGCCCAGTGTTCCTCCTGGAAGAATGTAAACAGACTGGGCCCTATAGCACTGTACGAAGGCGAAAGTACCATCTGTACAGGCAGGCCATGTAGCCAAAGAACCTGATTCACACAGAGCAGGCTGGTTGAAAGGGTATTAGGCCAGGATCTAGGATATAGTATGAGCCCAATATGGATACAATGTTTGTGAATCTACAGTAACTTGTGCACAGCATGAACATCTTCTTCATGTTGATGTTATAGTACAACTCCAATGACCAGTATCTTCAAATCTGTGCTTGTAGTAACAGTAAATCTGTCATTTGAAGAGATATAGCATTACCCACCTTGTTGATCCAGGTGTTCACTGCGTCCTCTGTGTCGTAAGGTGTTTCCACCTCAGGGTCGCGGTACGAATACTGACAAATGCAGGCCATCACTTTTTCAACGCTCACCGTCTCCACAGTGTACGCCATCATCAGAGTGTCGATCATTGCCATGTGAGCGCTCTGGAAGAGAAAACAGTACGAAGAAAGGTTTAGAAGGTAAAACTAGCAGCTTTGAGATGGCTGGTAATCAGTGGCGGACTGGCCATCGGGACGAATCCTGATGGGCCGGTACCGAAGTGGGCCGTTCGGACGATGTGGGCCGGTCGGATAAGTCACTAGCAGCCCCCCCCCCGTTGACAATTTACTAGCGGTACCGAAGTGTGCCGGTCGGATAATTCAGTAGCAGCCCCCCCCCACCCCGTTGACAATTTACTAGTGGTACCGAAGTGGGCCGGTCGAGATGCCCGGGCTGATTTTTAGTCCCAGTCCGCCCCTGCTGGTAATAACAACAGATGCTTGACGTTGGTTAATTTCCTGTAGTAGACAGTTTACTTGAAGTATATTAGCTAATGCTCTCAGTCACCAGCTTCAAAGGTCAATCCCAACTGCAGTGGTCAACACCTTGTCAAAGTGTTAAACTATGTAAGATAACAGAAAAGAGAATGAAAACCAGCCCAGTTCATTTCTTGACACTGCATCCAAAGAGACGGATCACTTTGCTCTGAGAGGAATTGAATCTGAGACCATGACAGCTTTTTCAATTTCAGTGACGGATTGAGCTGTCTACATTGAGCCGTGACCACAAGACAATCTGATCCTAAGACCTTACTGTGGTTTTTCTCTGGAAGTTTTTCCTTGTACGATGTGAGGGTCTAAGGATAGAGGGTGTCGTTTTTCTCATACTGATTTTCTGAACAATCTGTGTTGTTGTATTTGCTGTAAAGTGTCTCTACTGTAGGCTATTTTTATTATATGTACAGCACTTTGGCTCAACCAAAAATTGTTTATAAATGTGCTATATAAATAAAACTTGATTTGATTTGGATTTCTAAAGATACAAGATTACACAAGTATAAAACTGAGCATTTAAGATGTTATTAGAGTATTGTCAAGGACATCAGAGTGTTATCAGTATAAAATCACAGCAAGTCACTAATAACAGGCAAAGACAAAGGCCCTTCTGGTCCATTGAGATGAAGAACGAGACACGAACAAAGGAAAAAGAAGCTTGACTGCAAATGTGTATCTGAGCAGGTTAAAATAGCTACTTAAAACCTTTTGTAAAGTTTGAAAATGTCCCATCTGTGAACGGGAGACCGAACTGCAGCAAGGCCTTTGTTAGCACAGTGGTTTATAGGATTGGAGCAGGACTCGAATCCTCCGCTGTACATCTAATAGCGTCATCAGTTGGACATTCCCTTATGGCCGTTGCCCTGGAAACAAAGGCCTTCGTCCCTGGTTACAAGACCCAGTTTGCTCACGGCGGCTGCTACCCTCTGAGCAGCCTGAATAAGACATCTCTTTGACAACTGAGTCCAATTAATAGAATTGGCATTCATACGAAGCTGCTTTACTCATCTTTATCACCGACTGCAGGGTTTTATTTTGAATCAACAAATATAAATCAATGTTGGGACAAATGAACGAGTTCACCATACAATGTCTCACCAGTATCTCACAGTGAATGTCAGATATGAATCGCTGCGTGTTGTGTGACTACTCCTCTTATTTGGCTCTGCTGGCAAAAGGAACTCTTTACAAATATTTAGTTTCAATCTGATAACTAGTGTGTGATACAAGAACAAGAACAAAGAAAGGTGCAGCTACCAGTTCTATGCTGCAATTTGCATATATGTTTACACTGTCTCTGTCAGCCACCTTTACGACTTTTATTTAAATGATGGATATGTGATTTTGTAATGAAACATATTCCCCAATTCTTATTTACACTACTTCCTTGTTTCTTGTCATAACTTTATTTCCTGTAATCATTATTAGTAAATCTTCATCATTATCATCAATCATCATGAAAATATGAAGCTAAACTATCGAAGGCATTTTTAGAGTCAGGTATGAAACAAGATAGACGTGTTTGCTGTAAGCTAAGAGTATCATTTAACATTTTTATTCAAACAGTTTATCTCCCAAGCATCACAGCAACTACATTTGTAATCATTGTGAGATACAGAGGAGATGTCAGTGTAATATCAAGGGACAAAATTGAACTGTGAACATTTTTTTTAAAATAAATATTTCATGAAACAATAAATATACAAATACACTTTGGCCCTAATACTATTAGGGCACTCAATCTCAGATATTGTTTGTGGGTCACTTTGTACATGTATTCAAGAATCATAGATTTATATATTGGTGATCAAGTGAGCCTAAACAAAAGACTTGTAATCAGAATTGAGAAGTATACATGCCAAAGCCAAGTTTATGTTTTCACAGTGCAGCGAACGGATTTAGGGAGGAGGCTGTGGTGTTAAATAAATCTGTTTTTAGTTTGGAAGTTTATTTTTGGAGAGTCATGCCTAATTAGCTCGTGCTAAGTAGCGATGTTACATCATGAAACAGATGCTATGTCATGAAAGACAACTTCAAAGATTATAATATATAAAGAGAATAGAAACATTATTTATCTAGGTTCAAACAGACCAATACAGAGCTAAAATAACTATTCAGAAAACAGTCTTATCAAGACTTATTGACACAAAAAAATCCAGCACCAGTCATTTTTTCACTTTTACGCTGCTATGGACATTTTTGCACTCTCAAAATGCACTATGTACATCGTCTTTTTTATATATATATATCCTGCTTACTTGAAGTGTTTTTTTTGTAATGATTGAGTTTTAATGTGTGTTTTTGTATAGCTCAGGACTGTGGAAAACAGTATTTCGATATTTCTGGGTGTACAAACATATTTTGAGATTGACAATAAAGTTGACTTTGACTTATGCCTGTTTATAAAAGGTGCCTATTCTTAGAATGACACTCCTGACATGTAATCGATCACTTTTATTTGCATTGTGATCGGTATTAAGAGTTAAATGAGGAACATTTAAAGTAAACTATAACATTGTTTTCATGTCACCATGGTCATATCTGTATAATCTGTGTATTTCAGATCTTGGCTCTCACCTCCCCTTTATCTCCCTCTAATTGTCTGTACTTCCTTGTGTAACCACCCACACTCTACTAAGGAATTAAAAACACCAAATATTTATACTTGTGCGGCAGGTTTTCCATGAGCTAACCCAGCCAATCATCCATAAGCAGCCCCTTTTAGCTCCACAATGATGAGGTGCACCTTATGTGTTCCTTTTCTGCACTCTTTGTAATTTGTGTAAATAAAGTAAGATATTATTTTTCCTCGAAGCTAAAGCATTATAACGATGTTAGCTGTCAAGTGAGCAGCCAGCTATATGCACATTTTTGGCGGTAAAATTATCTTGCTGTTGACATTTCATAGCTTTACCCTATCTCTTGTCTGGCAACCCAGTGGCAAACCAATCCCATGTAATAATACGCTGCCAAGATGTTTCCTATTGGCCACCATTTATCCTGTCTAAACATTGTGAAACATTATCCCAGAAAGGAACAACAAATGCACACACACTTCCTGGTATCAGTTTGTAGCGCAGTTACAATTCTGAGCTACAGGCAAGACCAATTTGCAAAAAGCCAAGAGATTGTCATCATTCCTCAAAGGCCTCTTTTGCCTCCTGCTTCCTTCCTTCTGCTGAGCAATAGGAGGAATTGATTTGGTGCTGCTCTAGTCTGATGAGATGACAGCAAGCGGAACTAATCTTGTTTAGTAGACCTAAAGACCAATTGTCTCTAATCATATTGAATGACTCCAGGGCATTGTGTAGGAGGAGGAGGAGGATGGTGTAGGAACACAGGCTCGTTCCACGGCCATATTGTTTGGCACTGAGATCGTGCAACTTTATTATGTGACAAAGCTGCTTCCTTCAGCATTTAAAAGTTAGATATGTTAGCAAGAAGCAGTAGTTTGATTCAATTCTACAAACTCATGCAATCGTCTCATTGTATTTGAATAAGAGTCACTGTAATGTAATACTAATACAATTCAAGTTAAAGGATCATCTGACTGTAAACGTCAGATAAAAGCCAACATTTAAAAAATGCCCTGGTGAGTGCAGATAGCAGTTGTGGTTAAATGAAGAAAAGGAGAAGAAGAGAGGAAGGAAGAATGGGACGGAGAAAGGAGGTCGATTCACAGCCCAAAGACAGGCCTTTCTCGTACTGCAGAGAAAACGTGGATAAGCTGCTTACTAGCTGACCGGATGAAAGTGATCCCATGACGTCATGTTTGCTGACCTTTCCTTTTGCTGAGCATATATGCTTTCCTTTACACACACACACACACACACACACACACACACACACACACACACACACACACACACACACACACACACACACACACACACACACACACACACACACACACACACACACACACACACACACACACACACACACACACACACACACACACACACACACACACACACACACACACACACACACACACACACACACACACACACACACACACACACACACACACACACACACACACACACACACACACACACACACACACACACACACACACACACACACACACACACACACACACACACACACACACACACACACACACACACACACACACACACACACACACACACACACACACACACACACACACACACACACACACACACACACACACACACTGCTTCAGGGTATCTGTATGATCTGCAAGAGGGGAACATGTTGATAACTTGCTCCATTTGATTTTCTTGGTTCAAAAGAATGACGATGACTCACTGATTATAAGACTACTTCCCTAACCTTAAGTCTCTGCTCCCCCTAGGATACTGCCTTTACCATATGCTCAGTACGAAAACTAAACTGATAACTTATTTGAATCACAATTCGATGAATGAATTGCATACAGCCATGGAGCACTCAGCATAGGGCTGCTCAATTCATCTTATTTTAATCGCAATTACGAAAACAACGTAATCGGAATAAAACGATTATTTTTTTATTGTTATACTTAAAGTTCAGGGTAATCAACTGTTAAAAACATACTGTTAAAAAAAAAATCTCCAATAAATTGATGTTTTCAAAGTAAA